TATTATGTTTTGGGGGGCGCTTTTTATGAAAATAATGTCGGATTTTAGGTGTGACCCCTCCCCCCTCCGTGTATCGACTTTTTGTAACTTTTCTGATTTAATCGATATCATGGCCGACTATTATGTTTTGGGGGGCGCTTTTTATGAAAATAATGTCGGATTTTAGGTGTGACCCCTCCCCCCTCCGTGTATCGACTTTTTGTAACTTTTCTGATTTAATCGATATCATGGCCGACTATTATGTTTTGGGGGGCGCTTTTTATGAAAATAATGTCGGATTTTAGGTGTGACCCCTCCCCCCTCCGTGTATCGACTTTTTGTAACTTTTCTGATTTAATCGATATCAGGGCCGACTATTAGGTTTTGGGGGGCGCTTTTTATGAAAATAATGTCGGATTTAAGTTGTGACCCTCTCCTCCCCCCCCCCCCCCCCCGGGCACCGACTTATCGTAACTTTTCTGATTTTATCGATATATGGGCCGACTATTAGGTTTTGGGGGGCGCTTTTTATGAAAATAATGTCGGATTTTAGGTGTGAGCCCTCCCCCTCCCCGGGCACCGACATTTTGTAACTTTTCTGATTTAATCGATATCAGGGCCGACTATTAGGTTTTGGGGGGCGCTTTTTATGAAAATAATGTCGGATTTAAGGTGTGACCCTCTCCTCCCCCCCCCCCCCCCCGGGCACCGACTTATCGTAACTTTTCTGATTTTATCGATGTATGGGTCGACTATTAGGTTTTGGGGGGCGCTTTTTATGAAAATAATGTCGGATTTTAGGTGTGAGCCCTCCCCCTCCCCGGGCACCGACATTTTGTAACTTTTCTGATTTAATCGATATCAGGGCCGACTATTAGGTTTTGGGGGGCGCTTTTTATGAAAATAATGTCGGATTTAAGGTGTGACCCTCTCCTCCCCCCCCCCGGGCACCGACTTATCGTAACTTTTCTGATTTTATCGATGTATGGGTCGACTATTAGGTTTTGGGGGGCGCTTTTTATGAAAATAATGTCGGATTTTAGGTGTGACCCCTCCCCCAACCCGGGCACCGACATTTTGTAACTTTTCTGATTTAATCGATATCAGGGCCGACTATTAGATTTTGGGGGGCGCTTTTTATGAAAATAATGTCGGATTTTAGGTGTGACTCCCTTCCCCCCCCGGGCACCGCCTTATCGTAACTTTTCTGATTTTATCGATATTTGGGTCGACTATTATGTTTTGGGGGGCGCTTTTTATGAAAATAATGTCGGATTTTAGGTGTGACCCCTCCCCCTCCGTGTATCGACTTTTTGTAACTTTTCTGATTTAATCGATATCATGGCCGACTATTAGGTTTTGGGGGGCGCTTTTTACGAAAATAATGTCGGATTTTAGGTGTGACCCCTCCCCCCCTCTCCCAGGCTCCGTCTATTTGTAACTTTTCTGATTTAATCGATATCAGGGCCGACTATTAGGTTTTGGGGGGCGCTTTTTATGAAAATGATATCAAATTTGTTATTGATCTCCCCGGACCTCGACTTTTTTAAACTTTTTTGATTAAATCGATATTAGGGTCAACTCTTATGTTTTGGATTTCGCTTTTTATGAAAATGATATAGGAATACGAATCATTTTCATGAATTTTGAGATAGTGCCCCCGGGCTCCGACTTTTTGTAACATTTCAGATTTAAGCGATATTAGAGTCAATTATTAGGTTTTGGGGGGGCGCTTTTTATGGAAATGATGTTGGATTTGAGATAGTGCCCGGGGCCCGACTTTTTGTAACATTTTGGATTATATCGAACCCATATATCAATTTAATCAGAAAAGATACCAAAAGTCGGTACTTGGGGGCACTATCTAAAATCCGACATTATTTTCATAAAAAACGTCACTGAAAACCTAATAGTCACCCAATATATCAATTAAATCAGAAAAGTTACAAAAAGTCGGTGCCCGGAGGCACTATCTAAAATCCGACATTATTTTCATAAAAAGCCCCTCCGAAAACCTAATAGTCGACCCATATATTAATTTAATCCAAAAAATTTGAAAAAAGTCGAGGCCTGTTGGTCCCAATCACAAATTCGATATCATTTTCATAAAAATCGTTCCCCGAAACGTAAGAGTTGACCCTGATATCGATTTAATCAAAAAAGTTAAAAAAAAGTCGAGGCCCGGGGGGCCCAATCTAAAATCCGACATTATTTTCATAAAAAGCGCCCCCCAAAACCTAATAGTCGGCCCTGATATCGATTAAATCAGAAAAGTTACAAAATGTCGGTGCCCGGGGGGGGGAGGGGTCACACCTAAAATCCGACATTATTTTCATAAAAAGCGCCCCCCAAAACCTAATAGTCGACCCATACATCGATAAAATCAGAAAAGTTACGATAAGTCGGTGCCCGGGGGGGGGGGAGGAGGGTCACACCTATAATCCGACATTATTTTCATAAAAAGCGCCCCCCAAAACCTAATAGTCGGCCCTGATATCGATTAAATCAGAAAAGTTACAAAAAGTCGGTGGCCGGGAGGGGGGAGGGGTCACACCTAAAATCCGACATTATTTTCATAAAAAGCGCCCCCCAAAACCTAATAGTCGACCCATATATCGATAAAATCAGAAAAGTTACGATAAGTCGGTGCCCAGGGGGGGAGGAGGGGGTCACACTTAAAATCCGACATTATTTTCATAAAAAGCGCCCCCCAAAACCTAATAGTCGGCCCTGATATCGATTAAATCAGAAAAGTTACAAAACGTCGGTGCCCGGGGGGGAGGGACCGTATCTAAAATCCGACAATATTTTTATAATAAATGCCCCCTAATATCTAATAGTCGACCCATATATCGATTAAATCAGAAAAGTTACAAAAAGTCAGTGCCCGGAGCAATTTTCATAAAAAGCGCCCCTGATTACATAAAAGTCAATTAATAAAATGAAATAAATAAAATTTCTTCTAGTGTTAGCGTTAAGTTAGCTTTTAGTTAAGTTAATAGATAATTTAGCTTAAGCTAAAAGTTAGCGGTTCGTTTCCGCTAATAGCTAATTTAGCGCTAAAGTTATCTGCGCTAAAACAGCTGGAAGCTAAATTAGCGTAATATTTAGCGCCGCTAATTTTAGCTTGTTAGCGGTACGTTAGCTAGTTAAAAATTAGCGCTCTAACGCCCAACTCTGATATATACAATATATAATACAATAATATATATATATATACAATATATATATATATATATATATATATACACATACAACTTTTCCTTCATCGACCTTTGAGTATTAAATTCAAACTTCACTATTTTATTGGGAATAAGGTCACGTATATATACATACGTGTATGCAGTTTGTACTTTACAATGTGTAGTCCAAGATGAGTTTGCCAGTGGGTTGAGTGGGAGGGTGATATGCATTGGCAAAATGTTTTCCCGCTGATCCCCCACTCTTTACAGATCCAGACTCTTACTAATGCAGACAATAATCCAGACATGTTACTAAACATCAAGTTCTGTGAACAGTAGACCGTACAAATATTAATAATAATTCCGAAGCAGTGTTGCATAGTTTTAAAGTCTTTCATTGCTCCTTTTTTTTATGTGGCGGTTGATCATCATATGGTTTATCTTGATCAAGATGCTCCTCCTATTGTATGATTTTCTTAATTGATTTTCATACATTAATAGAATTTAATGAACTTAAATTATTTATTCAAAAATTCAAGGTTCCTATATTAAGAGGTTCAATTGTATGCAAAATTATTTTTATTTTGTTTAAATATCTATCTGCATTATTATTATAAGCATGATCAAATACAGAGCTTGAAAAGTGAGCCAAAATTTTCCATCGTGCCCATCTTAAAAATTACTGAACAGGTAAGAGTAGTTCTATTCACTATTTTGCTTTCATTATTTATGTTGTGTACTGTCTACACTTTTATGGTGACTGCTTTATTAAACATTTTATTATTATGTTGCTGAATAATATAAGTAACTATTTAAAATTAAATGTATTGTAAGATGTCTGATTTTTCAATATTAATAAAACAAAATGCATGTTAATTAGTGCATAACCGGTAATTCATTATCTTTGTTTATGCACACTGTTGTTTAATATTATAAATTAAAAAAAAAACTAATTTAAATAATTTTGTTATTTGTTGTAACGTTCTAATAACACATTATGTCATGGTGCATGGTGAACTTTTTTTCTTTTTTTTTTTGTTATAGCATGTGTTATTATGATAATGTTTAATATATATTACCGTGTACCATACAATTTTTTATTTTTTCAAATTAGATAGTTATGCTAAATTATTTTTGATAAGCTGTGAAATGAAATTTTTTTATTAAAATCTTTTTAATAATATTTTTTAAATTTTGTGATTATTTCACTATATTATAGTACAGAAGTAGATAATACATATCTGAACAATGTTCAGAGAGAGTTAGGTCTGAGAGAAAAAAAAATACCAGATAACTATAATTTTCAAATATACATTTTCATGATTTTAGCTATCATTAAAATGGTACAGCTCAAAATATTGGAATATATTTTCCTTTATTTGTAATATGCTATGTTAATATTAAAAAATGAAAATATAAAAATATTAACATATTCTTATGTTATTTTATTTATTTATTGGATAATTTAACAATCTGCCACATGGATATTGGTTTTAACATGTTTGAAATAAATTAAATAGATCATTAATGATCACTTTGTATGGAAATATTTAGTGACAAATTAAATATTATCAGCTTAAATTATTAATTTTTTTTAAACTAAAAATTTATATTTTTTCTTTGGTCTTTTAAATCTAAACTTTTTTTTGTAACAACAAAATGATATCTTGGTTTCATGCATAATACAAAATTATTTAATTGGAATTTCAATGATTATTTTATTATTTTTTTCACAATCCTAAATTAAGAGGGATATTTGTTTATTGCAAAGATACTCCCATTTATTTATTGTTTCTTAAATTTTCTTTGCAAATTAATTAATTTATTATCATTTTATAGGTTAAATTGTGGTGCTAGTATGGGTCAGAATGATTCTGTCCCAATAGCATCCGTTGGATCTCCGGGACCACCTGAATCGCCAGCCGCTAGCGTCCCTCCGCCAACCGACCCGACGATGCCTCTACTTTCACCTCAGCCTCCACAACAACATCACATCACTCAAAGTCCTCTTCTCGACGACAAAGTTGTATCAACACCTATTGATTTCAATGCACCAAAATCAGTTCCTTCCATTTCTAACCAAGTAAGCATAATTCAACTAATATAAGGGTATTAGATATAAATATAAGCTATTTTTCCATGACAGGCAGTCAATTTTTAGTTTTTTAAAACTATTGGTTGTTTCACATTTTGAAACTCGTGACAAACATATTTTAATTTTAGTGTTTTTCTTTTTAGTTATTGATTAATTTTGAAATACATTTTCATGCTACTTTGTTGTATCTTAAAAGTTGTATGATAATTATTTTCTATTTTATATATGATTTTGTCATTAATAAATTACAATATGAGCCCAATCAATCTGAATTAAACCATAATAGGCTCTATTGTTACATTTTATGAAATATATGTTATCCTCTAAGTCTGGATAAACTGTTTTAAATTAGTAATTTAATTTATTTATTGGTTTTGAGGAAGGGACTGAATCAATTATAAATTGCAGATGCTTTCACCTTATGGAGAAGAGGTAAAGACAACCTTGAGTGAGAGTGGGGGTGGGGGTCCAGGAAGCGTTGGGACTATCGGTGGGGGCAAGACGACCCCTTTAGCGGCCAGGACCCCTGCACCAGCACCCACCCCACCTCCGCAACCTACCGTTCAGCAACAACCGCCTCCAGCCCCCAAGCGGCCGCTGCTCTCTTCGTCTGATTATGAAGAAGCTTTGGCTCAGGAGATCAGGCCATCAGACCTCCTATATGACTACTCACTTTTAGATGCTTGGTAGCTACTTAATTTTATATTATTTCTAATTTTTATTTCCTCTGTCTTTTTGATGTAAGTTTTTTTTTTTGTATGCCTTCAAACCCTATTGATCTGATCATTTTCAACAGCAAATTATGAAGAATTTTTATATTACAAAATTATAAATCATGAAAGGTTTTATTAAAATTATCATCATTTAATGGTAAAGAGCCTGTAAAAAATGTTGCTTTCATAGTTAAAGCTAGTTATCATTTTTTTCAGCTCTATTCTTTCTACATTTAATACGATTGTTCTTTTGGATAATGGAATTAAAAAACAACTAAATATAAACAATTGAATTTTAGTATTAATTTAGTGAGCTTTAGTCAAAAATGTTTGATTCCAGCCTGTGAGGATTGACTTATTTTTTGGAGTTAGAAAATAAATCTTGCCCTTCTCACTCTGCCTTGAATATAATGGTAACCTGTTAGGATAACTCTTTTTGTCCTAACTGGAGAGCACAAATCTACTCAATGAAAATAAACAACTAACTAATTTAACTTGTTAAATCAACAAATGATCTAAAAACAGTTTTGGATTATCACAAATCTGTATACTTATGTATGTATCAATTCCCAGTTAATAGATAAAATAAAATAAGTGACAATTTGGTTACATTGATATTTATTGTTTGTTAATATAAAAGCTCATAATTTTTTTTATATTTTTTAATTAGTAACTTTACAAAAGGGAAGAATTACAATTGCATTGTATTTTAGGTTAAACCATCCAGTGAAAAGGTTTAAGCCCTCGCAACCCAGCCAGCCGCCAACACCTCAGCAGACCTTTATCAAACAAGAGCCCAACCTTCCTAACTCGAATCCAGTAAATAGAGCCTATTACTGAACAAATATGTTATTTAATGAAAACAATTTATTCATTAGTTTTTCTTCACTATTCCACTATTTACTTACCTCCCTTCCGCTCTGTTTTGATATTCTTTACTACATATGTGTTCTTCTTTTTAGATTGAAGAAAATGGCTACAGTGGTCCAAGAGGCCCTGGAGACCCTTATGATTTTAACGAAGAAGGAATATCTGGAATGCATATCAATAGTTTCAAAAGGGTTCCCATAAAGGTATGATCTTTTGTAATGTGTTTTTTTTTTTAAATAAATTATTTGTTGATAAGTGATAGCTGGACACTTACCATATTATTATTGAAATCGAAGCTCTGTATATCAAATTACTAGTATAACTAGTTTATTCACCTATAAGTTTATTCACCTGTATTTTAGAAATTAATTTTTTTGTTCGGAATTTTCTCATTATCTGTAGCAATTAATTAATTCCTTTATTTTTGTATTAATATTAGTTAAAATCGCTTTAGTATAAATATATATTAATTGCATATATATTTATAATCACTTTGTAAATACGAGAATAACAATTTATTTTTATCGAACTTGTAGGAAGAGGATAAAGGGTTAGTGAATGGTACTGGTCCCTCACCGAGCAGTCAAGGTAAAATGGCTTCTGGAAACTTGTTCACAAGTGAAGGACTCCAGGTTACATACAACGATCTTGACCAGATTTTTAATCATTCTGATGACAATTCTGGTGATGAAACGGTTAGTTTTATTTCTAAATAATTACCCAGATATGTATTGTGACAAAGTTATTGGCTTGAAACATACGAAATGTTATTTCCTATTGTGAACATCAAATAAATGTAAAAGAAATTCATAAATATTATTTCTATTCAAAATAAACTCATTAATCAGCCAACATGAGAAATGAAAAGTTCACCTCCTCTTTATTTTGGAATATTTGATTTTTAAAGAAAGACTCATGTGCTCTGAAAAAATAGTTATTAGTGTGATAAAATGATGGATGTTGCAGAACTTCAGTTTTCAGATCATTTAATTATCTTCAAATCAACTAATAAAATTGTTGAATATCCTAAACTGACTATAGAAGATACTGCTATATTCGCCTGATTTTTCATTTCTATTGACAGATATCTGTCATTTTCAGAAAGCTGAGAAAAAGTTGATTTTTGTTTTATAGGTTTAACTCAAACTGTTTCTGATGATTTTATTTAAGACTGTTCAATTTGAATTATAAAAAAAAAAAATCATTAGAATTGGTTTTAATTGAAGCTATGTTACAGAAAATTGGGTTTCTATCCACTTTTTAAAAATAACAGACGTCCGTCTTATGTATCAAGCCACTCATATGTCTCCGTAATTATTATAGTGGCCTAATATTGTGGATAAATATAATTTTAATTTTGTTTTACAAAATCATCTTTATTGCAGATGAACGTGACACCGCCGAGTTCTAACAAGGGTCCTGAAGATTGTACTGGTCAATCGAACGGACAGACCATCCTTCCTAGTAGCCGCCTATGCCTCACCAATGGCCAAGCAGGAATACTCAGGCCTGAAGAATTGAGTAAGATGTTTCCAACTCCTCCATCCTTAGAACCATCATTAGAGCACCCCCTTCTATCGCCTGGTGATGATCATCCTCAGTCACTCTCTCCCCACCACCAGCCTATTCAGGTGAATGTCATGAAAATTATTAATTAATGTTAGCACAGAGGAATCTTAATTATTAACAGTTGACAAGAAAGGAACATTGTCAAATAATTTATAATTTATGGAAATATTCTTACTTTGAAATTATTGTCTATAAAGCATGTACGTGCTGTTTGTTTTTAGGATTGATTGCATTTCAGTCTATTATGCGTCTTAAATTATTAATTACAATGCCACTTCTTAATTCTATCTGTTAAATTCCATGTTCTTAGTTGATTCCTTAACTAACATAGTTAAACGTCTGCAATGTAGATCCTACCAAAATGAATGCACTTCAAGTTCATGCTGATGGAGTGATATATATATTGCATCCGTATTTTGTATTTATGGAAAAAGTGATATATCAATATTTCCTTATACCGGTCCTCAATACTTTTGGTACTTTTTGTCTAAGCGGCCGCTACTGACTGCTATCTGCCAATGTTTATAACCTGAACACTGATAACTCCCATAACGCAGTGATATGCCTTCTCCTACTTCACATCTTCGTATTATTGTATTAAATTCGTATTATTGAAAGTGTAAACAGATACAAAAAAAAATGTAATAACAACAAAAATACTTTTATTTGACGACAAATATAGTAATGAAATAATAAAAAAACACTTTAAGAAGATATGTACATATAAAACATCAAAATGAAATTAAAAAAAACAAATTTAAAAGAACATATTTACATAGAAAAGAAAAAATATCAACACTATAAACAACGTATATACAAATTATTTTAAGTTAATTATTCACTTCCTTTTGTCTTATTTATTTTGGAAGGCAAAATTGTTTTATGCTACTTAAAATAGCGAGGAACGGGTCTCTCTTCTCTGTGAACCCGCCGCCACAAAAATTCGCACAAATATGAATCAAGGTGTTGTCTGGCAGTTCCTCTATGTACTTTATTTCTCCACTTACCTGAGCCCCACAATCGTTTTATGTGTTGAGTATGAAGACGTGTGTTCTATGTGTTGAGTGAGTCGGAAGACTGTAAATCCCATATTCTAAGAAGATCCATAATATGAGGAAAATAAACGAAAAAAAAAAATGAAAAATAAACTGAATGAAAAATAATATGTGTTGAGTATGAAGACGTGTGTTCTATGTGTTGAGTGAGTCTGAAGACGGTAAATCCCATATTCTAATCAGATCCATAATATGAGGAAAATAAACGGAAAAAAAAATTGAAAAATAAACACCAAGGGGTCACAAATTAAAAAAAAATGCAAAATTAACACAAACGGGCCAAAAGTAAACAATTTAATAAGTGAACGTAATAAGGGAATAACTGAAAACTAAACAATGCAATAACTCAAAAATTTGACGGGATAAGAAGAGGGAGGTTATGTGACATGATGATATGACGTTAGATAACATAGATAAGAAGTGAGGTTTCAAAACGGCCGCTTAGACAAAAAGTACCATACTTTTTATTCAGTTTCAGCCCTCCATATTTTTCCTCTAGCATCTCTTTTTTTATATTGAACCAACACATGTTCAATCTTACAAATAGGCTTAACGTATTTGTTAAATTTCACATTACTGTGAAAGTTTGTGAGGATCTAGAGGAAATATAAGGAATATGGATGTCATCTCCCACTCAGAGATAGTGGTTATTGGAAAATAACTGTTTATCGGTTATGGAAACCACTGGTTTCCAGAAAACAATTTTTTTTCTTTCCAAAGCAAAATCATGCTGTATAAAATTTGAAAAGATGAAGGTAAACAGTAAAGTAACCACATAAAACCTTAAAAGTTACGGACAATTCAGGGTGTGTGATTGATAGATTTGGTCATAAGAAAAAAATGCTTTCCATTCCATATTGGCATTATTGCCTAATTTTATGAATTAGCCTGTCATGTTTGTCTTATTGTCCAACTAGAGCCAATATAACCTAGAGATTATAATAATTGAAATAGCCAGTTAAACAAGTTATAAATACAAAGCTATAAAATAACAATCAATTTACTATTTCCACGCATAATCAACACTCAGCTCTACTGGAAAAAGATATGAATCAATAAGGCTTTGGTATTTTATCCTGACAAATGATTTTATTCGATGATTTATTTTCTTATTTTAAAATAAAAACTAAACATTATTATAACAATAAACTATTATTTTTACGTTTTTATAAACTTATAATTAATTATTCAGGTCTTTTTTAAAATATAAATATAATTAATCATTGATGTCCGCAGGACTGGTCTTTTGTGTTCAAACCCTCGCCTATTAGTAAGTTTGTTGGGTCAAGCAAGTATGCTCCCCTTACTTCACTGCCAAGCCACAGCCTTCCTCCTGTGACTCTTCCAGCCAACGCTTTGTACAAACCATCGTGGTCACTACCTCATCAAGAGAAACAGACCAAGTGAGTAGCATTGTGCATTAATGTTTTAATTAATTCTACTATTTGTTCTGGTAGAGAATTAACAAAATTTTACATCATATATGGACTACGATGAATTTATTTTTACAAAAGAATGTATTACCATTAAAAAAAGAAAAATACTTGTTTACTATTGTAATTCTGGAACATTAAAATAAGTATTTAAACACTTATACAAGTTTATGATAACATAAGTTTATGAGAGATTATTAATTTACTATTATTATTGATTATCATTACTAAAAATATTATTTAGAATATTCCTAACTGTTAATTTCATTTATAGCCCTCCTTCAGCTAGCCGAGGACTGCCTGCGAATTCCAGACCTGGAAGTGGAGGACCTAGGACGCCTAGTATTCCTGCCCTACCTCCTGCCACTCCCACTGGAGCTGCCTCCAGCCCTGCACCATCTGCACCATGGGGCAGAGCCCCTCCTCCTCCTTATTCTCCTGCCCAATATCCTCCTCCTGCTCCTGTTCATCAGCACCAGCCCCCTCCTGAGGCCAATTCTCTTGTCGTTATTGTGCTCCTTTCCGACACTGCCTTCAACATCTTTAGGGATCACAACTTCGACAGCTGTACACTTTGTGTTTGTAATGCTGGACCCAAGGTATGCACTAATAATATGTGATACAAAATTAATTAATTTTAATTTTTTTTTGGGCAGTTTTTTTTTTTACTTGATTGCCCTAGCTTCTACCAAATTATTACACTTAAATAAAATTAATTTGTTAACATGTACCAAAATATGTTCATAAATAGCAATAGAAGTGATGATCATTGTCAGCAGTTGTAGAGGGTACTAATGAGAATGGAAATAATTTTAATAAAAAGAGTGTTGTAGATTTATGAAATTCATTAATGATATAAAATTGAAATATACTCATATGACAAGGGAAGCTTTGTTTCACTAAATCAAATCTAAATTCTTAGCGTAACTTTACTTTCATCACAAACATGCGTCTATCTTATGCCAATGACTACTAATTTGATGTTTTATTTTGCACAAATTTAAATTTATATTGTATTTTGATCTATGATGGGAAAAGAAAATTTTGGTTTACATATTGGACAACAGATTATAGTTCTCACTACCATTTTTATCTTTTATATCAGGGGTACCCAGATTATGACATAAATTATTTATTCTGTTTCATCAGCCGTGGATCGACCCTGGGTTCAGGAGAGCCTCCTGGGGCACATCCAGCCTCTATAATGTGGATACTCTTAATTAAATAACTGATTAAGGAGGAAAACCTAGTGGCTGAGCGTGATCTTGCTCAAGTCCCCTAGGTTTTTTCCTAGAATCCCCTAGAATGATGGGGACCACTGTCTTATATGATAACAGTACCTGTTTTTTGATATTATATTCGGTTGGCAAGCGGTTTCTTCAGTTTAGTTTGGTTCTCTTAACTAATTTTATGTTAAGCTTATAAATTATTTATTTATAATATTACTAACTAGCTTAGTAAGTGATTTATTTATTTTATTTGTAATTGTTTTATAGAAATTTTGTTCTTGTTCAGGTGGTTGGTAACATTCGTGGCAGCGACGCTGGAATGTACCTGATAAGCAGTAATGGGACACCTTATTCACCTTTATCACCATCACCCCACCTTCCTTTGGAGGAGGAGCATATAAGATGTAACTGTGGTTTCTCCGCAGTAGTCAACCGGCGCCTTTCCCATCGAGCTGGTCTCTTCATTGAAGACGAGTTTGAAATAACTGGTATAGTTAATTCTTATAGTATAATCGATAATTCATTTTGGCTTGATACTCATTATGAAGGCGTAAAATAGAAATATTTCAATAATTAATTCTATATTGTAAGTAAGTCTTTTTAAGCTTGGAGTTCCTATTTGCATCGAGTGGCATAGGCAACGTAGCTGACTGAACGGAAGGAATTTATTAAACTAAATTGATTTTTTCTGGGCCAATGGGCAAAATAAATGTAGTGATTTTTTTCCCAAAGTTCTTTAGAAAAAGGGACATCAATTTCAAGTGGTGTCTAATCCGAAGAATAAATTAATTTTTTGTCTTGAACAAACTGTTTATTGATTACTTACATTGAAAAAAATTAAAAAAACTACATGGAGATTTATTTTATACTTTTTTTCATTATTATTTCAAATTATATAAAGGAATAGCGAAAATTATCTCTTATGATTAAAATACTAACAGGACACTATTTAGGAGACAGAGAAGTAAAAATTCTTTGCTGGGTTAGGTCTTATGAAAGATAATATGAACAGCATCAAAGTTAAATGTCATTAGATTCATTATTAATTTGAATCTGATTTATCAAATTCTTGCTGGTGGATAGTATTGAAATGAATTGAAAGGTGTAATAAATTAAATTCTTAATCCAGAATTATCTAATTTAATATGTGTCTTTTGGACAATTAATCCCCCATTTAGCAATATGTACTATCCAGCTTCTATACAATCCAGCTTCTATTATTGCCAAGCACTGTATCATGTTATACTGATATAATCCTATCATTACTTACATAATCTTTTAAATAATATACTACTTACCTGATATCTACACATATATAATAAAAAAATTATGCATTATTGAGTAGGAATATTATAGTTCAATATTATTATTGTGGGAGCTGGGTGGCTTAGTGGGTGAGCACTGACTTCCAGAGCTCAAGGTCCTAGATTTGAATCCGGCTGATGACTAGTAATTTGTCGTCGACCCTAGGGACTGGAGACCCTCCTGGGGTAAACCCAGCCTCTATAAAATAGGTGCTCTTAATTTAATAATTAATTAAGGGGGAAAACTTGGTAGTTGAGCATGATATTGACCCCGTTACTTCTCTGCACAACCGTTGACCTTGGGATTACTTCTTCACATTTTACTGAACCCAAGACCCTTCATGTGTTGTTAGTGGTACAAGTTTTTTTATTTTTTATTATTATAAGAATATTATACAGTCTTCTTATTATTATATAATTCCAATTCCTATGGTTAAAAAAAAAAAATAATGTTGCTAAAAATAGACCAGTAACCTCCAATGGCCTTGCTGTATATATCATCTGTTAGCTTCTAACAATAGTCTCCTTATTCATTTCAGGTCTACTTGAGGAACCTGTGGAAAAGGAAACTGCTGTGTGTGTTGGACGAGCTGAGATGGAATTGATGGCCGGGCAGTGCCTGGCTGTCAACTCTAGCTCTAACGCTCTTTACCGAGCAGCAACACAAGTGCGACCCGCTACTCCACTTCCACCGCTGAACATTCTTTCATTGCGGGACTCTAACCACGTGTCACTTGTAGCTCTGGAGCAGGGTCGGATTGCAGCTCAACATTCTCAATCAATGTGCAAAGTAAGGTTTCATTATTCATCTAAATTTATATTTAAACGTAATTATGTTGAGTGGGAATTTTTTTAAATGTTTGAATAACAACCTAAATTATTAAATTCTTATATCTGAACTTAGTTGCGGCCATAGTTCAATTGAATTATAATAATATTTTAGGTATACATATGTGTGTTTACTAGTAATTAATAATTTAACAAAAAAAAAAAAAAAAACTTATGTCGATCCTAATAAAAATTGACATTAATTCTAACCATAAATTTTTTTTTTTCAACTATTGATAAAGTATCATGCTATCTATTGAGTAAATTTATTTTAAGTATTATTTCCTAAATGAAAAATGAACAAAAATATTAAAATAATTTTTAAAAAGAAAGCTATTTCATCCTTATGAATTTCAGAGAACACATTACTGAAAAATTGTTTTATTTTTTCTTTTATTTCTTGTTTCATTTTTAATTATGTAAGGTTGGGTTGGTTTTTTTTTTCTTTATTAATTTATTACTTCTAGTTTTCAAATTTGTCATACCATTGAACTCATATTAAGTTGTCTCTTTTGTTTTTAATTTTTAACAGATGGAGGAAATTAGCAATTACGGAAGGCCTGGAAGTGGACCAGTCCACAGATGGGGTTTTCTTCGAGCTAAAGGTCCTCCATCGAACCAAGACATTGTACGAGTGATGAAGCAATTACAGCCCCTACTCCAAGAAGCCATCCAGAAGAAGTGCACGACAAGACTATGGGAAGCACCTACTGTCTCCGGACCTCTGACGTGGAGACAGTTTCATAGGCTGGCTGGAAGAGGTATGTCCTGCTTTATTAAATTTACCTGGTCTAGAGCCTACTTTTGAAATCAGAGCTAAATCATGGACCATATAACAATTTCAGGTACTGATGATCGTTGTGAGCCTCAACCAATCCCATCATTGCTTATGGGGAGAGAAAAGGACTGGATTACTTTAGCCCCTTATGCTGTTCATCTTTGGGAGAAGTTATTGTTGGAACCATATTGTTACTCACGGGATATAGCCTATGTTGTTGTTGCACCTGATAACGAGTTTGTCCTTGCAAGTGTGAGGACTTTCTTTAAGGAGCTGTCCTGCATGTACGAGGTATATAAAAGATCAAGTGGTTATATATATATTTATTTAAATTTAATTTTTTTATTTATATCTTATATACACTAAATGTAGTTTCAAGAGTATTCTATCAATATTTTTAAAACTAAATTAAATTAAATATTTTTAATTTTTATAACTCTTTGAAGTTTATCTACTTATTTCAATCATGATATTATTTTTCTAATTTCACTGTAAAATTTATGGAGATATATTATATATATTTTTTTTTTTTTCTGATTGCTTTTAGTTTTTTATCAGTGGATTTTTTTTTTCAATGTCATACTACAATAGCTGGAAATTATATCAATAATAAAATTGTTATAGGTGTGTCGACTAGGCCGCCATGTACCTATCACCAAAGTGCTGAGGGATGGAATCTTACGAGTTGGTAAGACAGCTGCTGTGAAGTTGGCTAAGGAACCGTTGGATGACTGGTTCTCCAACCTCACAGACACCTACCAGGCCAACATGCTCAAACTTTATGCTCAGGTACAATGGAAAAAACCTCTTGATGTATATTCTGCGATGTCGTAACTGGAAAATCGTGAATTTTTAGTCAAGACTATTGCAACAATGTATAGTTTGAACTGATGAACTATCACTTCTTAATCCCTAAGAAGAATCATGCTATATTTTTACATTGCATTTCAGTTAGACTGAATTCAATTTTTTTTTTTATTTATATATCTCTTTAATTGACAGAATTTAGAACTTGAAATAAATGTTTCTCCTGAAACAATAGCAAATCTTGAGTTACAACATTGTGGAACGTATATGATTCATTTGGTGTTTTAATATAATTACTAATTGTTAAAATGTATTTTAATGCTATTTCTTCAGTGATTGTCGACCCAAAGATAATTATTTTTAAAAATATATGTTAGTCATCAATCATTAAATCCTCCGCTAAGAGTTTTCCTTATAATATAAGTAAAAACAAAATCTGGAGCACGCAACACATAACTTCCAATTAAATCCAATTATTTTCTGGCCATGTGGGGCTATTATAAAAATTTTTAACTGAGCTAAAGCTAAAATATTACAACTCGCAGATCATAAATACTATTAAAATAACAAAATTTCTATTTATTATATCACCGGTTGATTATGGATTGTACGCCTATTAGTTATTAAACTGTTATATTCCATTGCAAAGTTTATTAAAACGGAATTAAGAGATTTGCATTATCTGTCATTGACAGGTCAAAAGTTGTCACACTAATTGTAAGTGGATACTGTTGGAAATTTCATCAAACTATTCACTAATTTAATTTTCTGAAAGGTTACATGATGATTTTTCGGAATAAAAGGACGATTGATATCTAAATATTTTAATATAATATCAGATCTAGAGTTATTAAACTATAGTAAATATATTTAAGGTTATAAACGTATCTATGAAATATTTTTATATTTCACTTCTTCTTTCACACAAGTACAATGAAATCGTAGTGGATAATGTTGGAATATCACGAAGGGAAGATTTATCAAATTATTCACTAATTTAATTTTCTAAAAAGTTACTGGATAATATTTCAGAATAAACGGACGTTGATACCTAATTATTTAAATATAATATCAGATTTAGATTTATTAAACTGCATTAAATGTATTTAAGGTTATAAACATATGCTTTATACATCCATGAAATGATTTTATATTTTACTTCTTTTTTCACACAAGTACAATGATATAATTTTTTAAACAATGTCATTGCATTGATTAGGTGGATTTTAAATACTTTTTTCAAACTTAACAGTATTTTAAAATTTTACATTTAGTTAGTAAATTTCATTTAAACATGTGATTTACATTAAATATTATTAGTTTTCTAAAATTATTATTTATTATTTGTTTGCCACTCTCCGTCACCTTCTACAACTTTCTATATTATATATTGTTTTTTCTAAAAATCTCCGCTTTCCAACGATATATTATATGTATACCTTCTGACTAGTATTTCCGGATATTCATTTTTGACCTGGATAGGCATTTTTGTGTTTTTCTCCTTTATTCAATTATCAAATTCTTTCAAAAGTTATATTGAGCATTTTTTCGTAACTCTTAATAATGAGAAATAGTTAATTATTTAAAATAAACCATATTAAAGGTACTTTAGAAATAGACACATATCAACATTGGGCATTTAAGCCCTGTAAAGTGACATCAATGGGGATAAGACTGAATGATATTAAAGACCACTTAATTATACAATGATACACCAAGTTGAATAAAAATCGTTAGAGCCGTTTTTGAGAAAATTGTAAAAATGTGTTTCAGCGTTGATATAAAGTACCACTTCCGGTTAGCCGATTTTAAGGAAAAAGTTGCTGTCACATCTAAGGCATATACCTACCTTAAATACGTAATATCAGTTTTGTACTACTTTTCGTTTTTGAAGTAGACTGCTAACAGACACACAGACCATTTTTCAGGACTTGATTATTTGGGCTCAAGGTATGCCCAAAACGTGTATTTCTGTTGAAAACTCAGATTAAAAAATGTTCACAATGCTTACCCTTACTATATATTACATATATACGTAAGTGAAAGTAATATAGAATATGTAAAATATACTTATATTTTATAATATGTGTATTATATCATTTGTTGTCTCCAACAAAATAGGTGTGCCGCCATCATTTAGCTCCACATTTATCCCAAGTGCCCCTGGATAAAACTCTTCTTGATCCTCCCGAGGGCTCTAACCCAGCTCCTCGATCAACACTTGGTGCTTCTGATCAACCCAACACACCGAAGCAAGTGGACCCTCAAGGTAAATGTTAACTATGTTTTAATCATGTTTTTTTTTTCCAATGAAAAGTCAGCTATTTAATAAATTTTTAGTATGTTACTTGTTTTAAATTTCATTTTTCAATGATATATACTATTTCGTTATTTATAAAATGAAGTAATATTATTATTTCTACTTTCTTATGAAGATGATGGGAGCGGTAGTGGCAGTGAATATACGTTTGGTGGTAGTAGTTGCGGTAACAATGGCTACAATAGCTCAATTGACGATGATGGGTCTGACCCACCGATGATAGTCGTTTACCTTGTGGAGCCATTTACTGTCGGAGCTGATTCACCAGAACTTCAGCGTCTCTCCTGTGTAGGGTTGCTAAAAGCCTTCAATACTGTGATAGCCAATGTACCTGAGAACCTTAGATCTAATATTACCCTGCAGGTACAGTATCTTTCATAAGTAGTTAAGTATTTGAGTTAGTGGGTGCAAGAAGGCAGGTGTCTAGCTTCCTTGAATTTCTTGTATGTGAGGAATTTTTATAGAAGTGTTCATGTCGGAAAAAAAAAATCGGGAATGCGCTATGCTTTAAAAACAGCCAGTAATTTAAATTTTCAGTTTTTGGTTTAATAATTTAATTTTTCTATTATTACCTTACAAGAGTATAAAGTATTTAGAAGAGGATTGATGTTACAAATATCACCTCTAATTCCAAGAAAGCTAGAATTAGCCATCCACAAACTAATATGGGCCATCTTACTTATTCACTCTCTCATTTCAAATTTGTTTTATCTTCTATCTCACCTGAAATGACTGAGTTCCAGCTCTGACTTAAATTTAGTAAAAAGAAAAAGAACTAAAAAAACAATGGAAAAGACAATACTTAATCATTCTAGAAGTAATTGAATTGAAGAAAATTTTACCTCATTGTCCAACTGACAGTTCCAGAATCAAGCAGTGAGAGGGATCTGGCTTTACAAGCTGGTTGGCTTGTTTAATCACTGTTTGAACCTTTTTGCACCATTGCAATTTGGGACTGTCTGCTATGCACTGAGATAAAGTTTCTTTAATGTAATTACTTATTACGGTATAATTAATTTTTCATTACTTCACTTTTTTAATTTTTATTTGTAATTACTAAATCAGGCTGAATATAAATTCATTGTATTATTTTTCTTTAGTTTATTTGTTGAAAGCTGATTAATAATTTTTCGTTTAACAGAGATACAGCCCTCATAATTTTCAAATTCATTCTCAAGTTGTTTATTTAAAGCTGACCAATTAGTATAACCAGTTGTATCAACAATAGATCTAGAAATCTATTAGAGGCGGGATGGTCGAGCGGGCTAACGTTTGTGCACATCACTGCCGTTGCCTGGCATCCTGATCAAAGATTTAATTTGATAAGTATGAGTATGAGTTTTTCTCCTGGTGCCAGAGGGATTTTAACTCTGGTATTAATCCCTTACCCTTATCCCCTGGCCTGGGAAAACCCCTGTATAGCCTAAAAGGTAAGGATGAGGAGGAAAAAAAACTAAATATAAAAACAGTCAAGAAATCTCTTCGGAACTAAGCAATAAAATTGAATACTTATTGGGGCTGGATTCTGCGTGTTCTCTGTACAGGGCCTACAGGTGTTACATACCCTTCTTGCTCCCAGTTTCTCAATAGCATTTCATAATGGAGTCAAGTAAATTCATATAATGTTTTATATATAACATTTTAATAATTTAAATTTTGCAGGTTGTTTCACTGGAGAGTATTCTAGAATTAGGTAGGAGTGGAGAGACAAATCGAAGAATTGATCATATGAGAACACTGGCAATCTCCGTTTTTTGCCAAGCAAGAAAAACATTGATGCATGGAACCAATAATATTAAGGCTCTAACTGGATTTGGAACTGCTGCATCTAATGAGCTATTTTTGAAGAGTAAAGATGTATGTTAATCTTAATATGAACATTAGCTTTGATTTACAGTTTTGAATTATATGGTTTAATTGTTATAATTTTAATAGGAAAAAAATAGAGCTCCATACAAAGTATATACTCCAGCGTATATCCTAGCTAAAAGTAAGGATAAGCCATTGAACAATCCAGCTGGCCCAGATCCAGAAAGCGGTGTTAGTTCATCTGACCACTGCTCGGTTCTTTATGTATCATATTGCCTCTCTGAAGACCAGAGATGGCTGCTGGCAACTGCTACTGATGAACAAGGTCTACTTCTTGAGACAGTATCTATCAATGTTCACATACCCAATCGGTAAGTGTTGTTATTTTTATATTGATAATAATTAGCGTTGATTAATAATTAATAGCATTTGATAGCGTTGATAATTTATACTTTCACGATAATCATTCATAGGCTTTGTTCAATTGGAAATTATTTTCCAATCTGGTCCCCACTCTGCCGTTACTTTTACTAATTTATATATCTTTCCCATGTTTTCCCTCTGCAATCTGTAACACTTGTAACCTGCGAACTGTTTTTAGTTATATCCGTAACTATTTATTTATTTCTTTGAACTAGAGTCGACAAAGTGCAATACTGAAGGGAGATTGGATGAGGCCGTCCATACGCAACTCACTTGCTGATGAGCTATAATGCCCTCCTATCTTAATACCTCATTTTTCAGGTTTGGGAATGTCCTCTAAATGGCCAGCCCTTTACATGTTTTATTCATGCATTCACCCATAAAACGAAGAGATATAGTTGGCATCTACATTTTGCCAAATTATTAATTATTGATTTAATATTTTCAAATATATAACTCCAACAAATAATAGAACTGTATCGGAATCATACAAAGCCTAAAAAATATAAAATAAAAAACATTATTCACATAATTTTCATTTTTACCATATTTATGTAAAGCCTTTTTCGTGGATAAACTATATATGTATCTATTTAATTTAATGATTACAAAACACACTTTTCCCTGTATCTTAATAAATATAGTGCAGTTTTATAAATTTTATTAAAAATGTATCAATTATTCACAAATTAGAAAGGAGCAGTGGCATGTTTTTTTTTTTGTGATAACCCAGCTTAGTCTGATATCATGTCTCACTGTTAATAAGTTTCTTTTATAAATTTGAGGAAAAGAATTTTTGCTTCAGACTTACATAGTTTTGGATTAAAGAAAGTGGTTACTTTTTACCACTTGTCACAGAATCAATGTTCTTGTCAATGTATTTTTTAAATTAAATTATATTGATGTTTGCTACTTAATGTCCCTATGCAGGGCTAGGCGGAGGAGGGCGTCGGCAAGAAGGGCAGGTCTTCAGAAATTAATGGACTTCATGCTTGGTGTTATGAGCCAGTCGGTCACTCCTTGGCGCTTAGTCGTCGGCAGAGTAGGCCGCATTGGGCATGGTGAACTCAAGGGTAAGTAACAATAATGTTAAATTATATATAATAACCATGTTTATTTGATCAAGTTTTTATATGGATGTGAAAAACAAAATGGTTAATTCTTTATTGAATAAAAACTGTTAGTTCGTATTCTATATCCATTTGGTATTTTAAAATTTGAATGAATGAGAAACATAAGTTTTTTAAGTATATAGAGGGTGTCTACAGGAAGGGAAGACAAGAATTTTCATCTAACCTATCTGAAAGTTAAGACATTTTTTGATCATTTCTGCCAAAAATAAAAAGATACTAAGTATATAAAATTTTAGAATATAACAATAACAATTCCTTTTCTTATTTACAATTTTAAACTGAAAATCGTATATTGGTGTTATAATGTTCGCTCCATACTTAAATTTGTTTTGACTTATAATTTTCACTTTTCAGACTTTGGGATAATAAATCTAATGATAAATATTTTTGAATATTATGACAAAAATTTCGTTACCACTTTATGGGGGGAGTGGAGGAAAATTTATTGAAAATAGGAAAAAGTAACAGAATCTGACTGACAAAATCTTGTATACACCATGTATATATTTGAAACTCAAAATAGAAAAGAATAATTTATATATTTAAATTACTCTTTTCTATTTCTGATTTTTTTCACATACGACGAGTATATGGAAAAATATAGTGGTTAGTTATTAGTAAAACCAGAACAGGATTTTTACCTCTGTAATAAATTTGTATCATTGATGTTAAATTTATATTAATTTTAAATTTAGGTTGGAGTTGGTTACTAAGCCGCAAATCGTTGTTGAAAGCTTCAAAAAACTTGAAAGACATCTGTGGCCAATGTAACCTACTGTATCCCCACGATGTGCCATGCATCCTTTCAGCTTGCCTGGTTTCCCTGGAACCAGATTCAGCTCTCCGACTGATGCCTGACCAGTTCACTCCTGACGAGAGATTCAGTCAGGCATCTGTGAAGTGTTCTCTGTCCACACCACAAGATGTTTCTGCCACTCATATTCTTGTTTTTCCGACGTCAGCCACTACCCAGGTTCAAATTCATTTTTATTAAATTTAGTTTTATTGTTTATTTATTTTTTGAACACTAAATTGTGTAAAAATCTATTATTTTTTTTAGATGTCATTTTGACTTAATTGATGATTCTATTTTTAGAAGTTTATTCATAAAATACACTTCAAACTTTTATTATACACTTAAATATGTAATCATATCTTAATTTCATTTCCCGCTATGTTGTATATTTCCCAGGACCTATCTCTATTTTTTCTTTGTACCTGTATTACAATTTTTTTTTTATTTAATTTTTATTTCTTTCATTTTATATTCATTTTCTTCTAACTATTTGCGTCTTATTGACTTTTATACTTCTATTCACATAAAGAAAAACTATAGATATTTTAATAAGGTGCTCATTGTAAATGAAGTTGCAGTTACTACTTTATTTTAATTTGTAGCTTGATTAAAGATTATTGTTACTAAAAGTGTTTTAATTAAAAAATGCATGCTTTAAGTGATTGCATCTGGATCAAAATAATCTCTTACTGTTCACATTATTATCAGATCAATGTAGGTTATGCTTTCTAAAAAACACATTTATTTTCTTTACGCCGTACAACCCCTTTATCACCATCTAAAAAGATATATATTTAGGGATTAACCCAAACACAAACAAGACTGTTGTTTAAAAAGTAGAGTTGAAAGAAAGCTGTATTATAATAGATTTATTTTTCTTGTTTACAGTCCTCACAGACAGCATTCCAAGAACAGCATATCAACGATCCTGACCTGGGCGATGATGAACTTTTTTCGGTATTGAATGATGACATGGAAGGAATGTCAGACTTTCACGATATATTCTCTACTTGGCCGGAGGCTGATGGGACCGGTGGTCCCAGAAGCCCTGAGGGTGCTGGTGGCCCGGGCAGAGGAGGAAGACCTGACTCCCAGAGTCCCACACCTCCGCAGTCGCATCCACACTCTCCTTATCAACACTCTATCGCCAGAACGGTACGTATCAATTGAAATATTATGCAGAATTATAAAATCTCAAGATGCAAAAGATATAGCAATAGTTTTTGTTTTTTTTCATAACTGTGTTAATTGAGCTCACCTTGAACATATAAATTTTAATTACCTTCACTACAAATGTGATTTTATTTAGTGTATTTATTATTTAAGCTCATTGACTTATTTTATACAGCTCACTAAATTTGTTTCTATTAAACTAAATCTCTCTATTAAAAGAACAACCATCCACTTCTTTTGTTTCTTATTTAAAGCAATGATATATGTTGATTAATAAATAATTTCAATTTCAATTTAATTTCATACTTCCTTTCAACAAACTCTGTCATAGATCTAAATTATAAAGTCATGTCATGTCTCTCTCTCCCCCCCCTCATTTACTGTGTTTAGGACATTAACCTGTCGGTTCAGCTCTGAAAAGCTTGTAATTATTCATGCTCTTCTCAACTTTCTCAAAGTTGTTACTTCAATCATATTTACCAGGTGCATGGCCTATAATTCTGGATTGTGCAGACTTATAAATTCTTCAGTAGACTTGTCTTCCTTCAGAAAAACTATGTAATACTTAATTTTTGAAGATCATATGGTGTATTTTCTTAATAATAAGTAACCTTGTAATAGGAAGGACTATGATCTTCCAAATAAATAAATTAAAGTAATTATATAAATCCATTATAATTGAGGTTGTGAATTTGATATAATTTAATTATATATTTTTTTTTTACGTATTCCAGAGCGGTGAAGGGAGTGAGGAAGTAGGAACTGTATTGCAGCAACCATTGGCCCTTGGCTACCTCGTGTCGACCGCTCCGACAGGACGGATGCCTCGCTGGTTTTGGTCTGCTTGCCCTCACTTGGAGACAGTAACACCACCCTTCCTCAAGAATGCTCTCCACCTCCATTCAACTGCTGTATTGGCTAGTTCTGACGAGCTATTACAGCAACAGACTGCAGTTGCTGGCCATGCCTTGGACTCTCAGTATACCACTGATGTACTTAGGTATGTCTGAATAGAAATTTTACCTTGGTTATTTTATATCACCTGTAGGTCTGAAGTGAATATAATTGATGAATGACCATAAGTCTTGAAGAATGTTTCAGGTTGATGGGAGTATTTAACAATGGCCCAGGACTTATATCCACCTTTCCTTCCCTATCTATTTTTAAAATGCAGTGTAAAGGATGTCTGGTAATGTGGATGATATTTGGCTTGAATAGCATCTGCATGATGTTCTTTATCTTAAATGTTTCTCTTATGATAGTATCTTATAATCAAAAGAATTAATTTACTTTCATATGGCATGTTTGATTGGTAGTCTACTTTCTTATCATTATTGAAAAATTCTTATTTAATAAATAATAAGTGTAGTTCTCTCACGCATCTTTGTATTCAACTGTGAAGCAGGCTACTAAAATATAATCTGGGATTTATGAAATTAAAGAAAAATTGAGAGTATTAAATCTGGTAGTCTATTAATAGACAAATTGTTTTACTGGATTTAAAACTTGTGTGATGTTCTTGAGGTGATTAAATAATCTCAAAATTTTCTCTTGTCTCTTACAATAGATCACTATACGATGAGTAAGGGGGGTCTTTGTAACTTATTATATTATTCAGAAAAGCTGAAAATGTATGCGGGGCCTTAATTAGTAAAATAATTTCACTATATTCCAGAAAGCATTTAGTTATTATAGTGATGTTTCTCGTTGCATACATGTCTGATTATTAACTGCTTATATGTTACCCTTCTATATATAAATAATGCTTCATATGTTACCTTATTCTATTGAAATAATATAAATTTTATGATAATAGAGCATACAATTGTTGAAACAATTAAGGAGTTGTCATCGAAATGTTTCTCTAATATTCTAATTATTTCTTATTAATTGTTGAAAGTATTGAATTAATATTAGTAGTATTGTATTAATGAAACCTCAGCTATCAGGCATTCTATTAATGGGGTAGTCATTCAACGGGGCTGGCAAATAGAAAGGAAAAAAATTCTGTTTTTGTGAGCATTGGGATGTTTTCAACTAAAATATAGGCTTTGGAATTTAATCCAATGAAAACCTAGATTTTGCAATGTTAGCAAGAGCATCTATATCTTAATGATTAGCTTTTAAACTTAAATGGTTAGTTGGAACCTAGGTAGACAGCTGTTGTTTTTTAATATGGTTGTTTACAATGATAGAATTTTTGTTAAATTTTTATCATCAGCAGCTGCACAACCCACTTAGTGCATCAAAGGCTCGCTAACTCCTTATTCATGCCACCTTTTACAATCTCTCCCTATACTATGTAGGTATAATTCAATTACTCGCAATACTGTCCACTGCAGTCTTTGGTCGTCTGATGTTTCTTGGTCTATCGTGTTTTTAAAAAGTTTGGTCATCCTGGTAGCATAATCCAACCACCTAAACCTCCCTATGGGATTGACTAACAATTTTCAGCTCCTTAATCAGGAGGAAGATCACCTGGAAAGAAGTAAGGAACAGAACATTCCCAGTATTCTTAGGGACTCTCCTTAATTTTAAGATCAGTACTTGAAAAACGGACCGTATTAGGTACAAAATGTCCATTTTAATGAATTACAGGTATGAAGGTCTAATGGGTGAAGATTTTTTCTCTGAAATTTCACTATTAAATATTTATATTGCCAACCTTCGAAAGAAGGATAAGTTCTATATACAGAAAGGAATTTTTTTAAATTACTTCTAAATATCAGACTTGCATTTTAATTGCATTACATTTGCATCAGACATGCAGATTTTCCAAATGGGCCTTAGTAATCTGATACTATTTTATATGAAGTATTGGTTGTCACTTAAAATTAATGATTTCAAATGATGCCACTACTGGACATTGTAATATCTCAACTTGCTCATTCATCACATCTGCTGTTCCCAGTTTCGTTGCCAGATATCAATGTAGATCTGTTAAAATTGTAATTTAAAATCAGGCAGTTGTTCGGTTTTATTTGTTTAGAAATTAAATAATCATGCTATGATGGAAAATTTGTTTTCTGCCAATCAGTCAAAAGATGATTTCTGGGGTCAGGTGGATTTGGTAGAGGGATGTTGATGACCACATTACTTTGTATGTAGTCAACTTAAAATCTTTGATCTTATAATAGTACGTACAGTTTTATGTGTATAAATATCTCTAGTTGGGAAAAAAGTTGCCACAATTCTAAAATTAATGATGTTTCACTTTTTTGTAATTATTAACAGTATGCAAAAGTTTTAAAAAAATATATTTTTGTAATTGTGCCACCTTTCTTCTCAAGCAGTGATATATTTATAAATACATTTGATCTATTATCAAGTTAAGCTGAGTTTATTTGCGTCCATATAAAATCTAGATTATTTGTGTTATTGTTTCAATTTTTTATGAAACAGAAAATATTTTAAATAGATTAGATTAATAACTTCCGTTTTTTTCTAAAGACATTATAACTATCTTTAAGGAAAATTTGTCCCTTTTTTACATAGGTATATTTTAATAAAGTTAAACATTTTGTATAGCCTGTTTTTACAAGTATTACACCTGTAGGCCTCCCCAATTAAGAGGGTAATGGTCTAACTTCCCGTGGGGACCAGCCGTATTGGGAAGTAGGGCCGGGATTCGATAAACTTAAACATTAATAGATATTAATTATTTATTTTTTTAAGAGTAATAATTTGGTTAAATTGTAAATGAATGTGTTAAATGCCATAAATAACCTACCTTATATTTTCTGTTATTTTATAATGTTTCTTTGACCTTATGATAGATATGTGCTGGAGGGATATAACGCACTGTCATGGCTGGCCCTCGACTCGAACACACACGACCGCCTCTCGTGCCTGCCAGTCCACATGCAAGTCCTCATGCAGCTGTACCACATGACTGCCGCATTAGCCTAGTCTTAGTACTTATTCTTGTACCTCCTGATTTTATAAATATATATGTATATATATATATAATTTATGTATGGATAGACATACATAATATTTATATACTTATAATTTATTTTTTTAACCAACACTTTCATTTATTGAACTAGCTGTTTTGTTTTATACAGTTTTATGGCCTAAATGTTAGCTGCCTATTTGTTGTTTTATTAATTTTTAGTTGTTAATTTTTTTTAAAAGATAAATCGATTGTAAAATGTAATTATAACTGCCTGGCTCATTTTTCAGCCATCTCCTTTCCTTTCTTCAACAATAAGTGATATTTCTCACTTCCATTCCAATTTTTCATCTAATTTTAGTATGGTTGAGAAAATTGTAACTACTTTACGATTGTATATAGTTATATATATAAATTTGTAAATATTTTCCCTACCACCCGAGTAAGAATTTTCGGTATTAGGTTTTATATTTAATATATTAAGTTAAATTGTTATAATTGATTTCCCTTCCCAATTTGTAAATTAAGTTGTTATCGATTCTTTAAATTATATATATTTATATTGAGTGAAATAGTGACTCCATTTAAATAAAATTATAGATTAATATACATAAATACATAGGTACATATATATATATTACAATTTAAAGAAGTTTTAAATGTAAATATATTTATGTAGGATGATGTAATTTTAATTAAATCGAAAAAAAAAATTACTAGATAAATTTTACATTTGTATTGGTATAAACCTTGCATCTGTTATATTTACAGCTTATTTCTGTAAATGATGTATATATTTATATATGTATGATAAGAATTAAATAAATTATGAATTAATTATAAATTGGAACTTAAGGACGTCATGCTTAAGTGGATTTCTTCTATGAACCCGCTTTAAGACCAAGTAGTTCATTCTAAAGGACTAACAACCAAAGGGTTAAGTAGTTTCTTTCCTATTGTAAATTTATACATGTACATAGGCACTATTATATAATGTATTGTGTACATTATGGACGAAAAGTATTTTGTAAATACGTACAACATGTTAAGAAAGTAACTTAATGAATAGTATTCAGTTGAAGGATTTATAAAAATGTGTAAGTACCAAAGAGCTAATGATGCCAATAAGATGGTATCAGCGGCCGTATTGTTAGTTATTCAAGAATATTCAAGCGTTATTCTTTTTATAGAACTCTTTTCATTTTAGTATCATGACGAAAGATTTGTTCTTTATATGTACATATAGGCATGAAGTTTTTATGAACAAAGTTCCATTAGATCAGATTCATTTAACATTTGTATTATAAGTATAAAGAAATTGTTATATGTTATTTATTATGTAGAGTAGGAACATATATTATATATTTGAAGGTATAACATATATATTTATATGTTGTGCAAAATGAGGAAATTGAAGCTCTGGGGGCCACTACCTTAAAAATAAAAACTCTAATTGACTATGTTTGAAACTTGATGAAGAAATGGAAAAAAAAAAACAGAAGAAGGCAATCGGTCAATTTGGTTGTGGGCACGCATGAAGTGTCAATTAACTCTTCTATAATCACATATCCCCACTCCCATTTCCAACCCCCTAGTGCTAACCTATAACTATTTTTGTACAGTCTCTGGTTGTAGGATGTGTATTTGTACAGTCGATAAATAAAGATTCTTTTTTTAAAAATTGAAAGATCATATTTTTATTTATTTCTTTTTTTTATTATTATTCTTTTGTTGAACAACCATTACCAATTGTTGTATTACAAAAAAAGAAAAGAAAAAAAAAGTATAACTGACTAATTATAGAAAGAGAGTACAAAACATGACTGCTGCATGTATCGTTCAATTATGTATGTACATTTTATATTTACTGTTAGTAGAAAATATTAGCATTATTGAAAAAGGAAAAGTTGTAAAGTTGGTCTTTTAAACATATATAGGAAAATATATTAGCCCAAGAGTGAAAAGGGAATTATCAAGGAAAAAATATATTGTTTTTCTTTGTTTATATATTTTAATTTTTCTATAGTTTATCTCCTTTGAATTGTAATGTTCTTTTATTCTGTTTCTTCTATAGGTCTTTTGTGGTCAAAATAGTTTTGTTTATATTGTTTTTTTGTTTTTTTTACAAAATTGTGAAACTCATAGCAGCGGTATGTAAACATTCAGATATTTTTAAATATATAATTTTGAAAGAGATTATATGTTTTATTTAAATAGTGTTTCTCCCTCTTTTAATTTAGGTCAATATATTTCACATTGACATTAGTATGAGAAAACACAGCCTATTTCACAGAAGCTATAAAAAAAAACTAGAAAACTTAAAGGTTTTATATTATATTTTATTTCCATTGCTTCTTAGGGGGAATTGAGAAGACCATTTGACATAATATTTTTAACAGAGGTCCTCCATCAGGAATCTGCTGCCTCAATGTTATTTACGGAATAAATAGTTTTTTGGACTGCTGTTTTCTTGTTCTACTGTCAATGCTTGACTTAATTTTGAAAACTGGTTATTATCCAGTTTCTTCTATTACTGTATGCTTCTTACAAAATTATTTAAATTTGAGAGCGAGACATTCTAGAAGTTTAAATCATCCTAGCTCTGCACACTTAATTCTCTCTTGATAGTATTATTGGGCTTTGTCAGGGAGGGAGCTGAGGTTAAACACGTATCAAGAAATTTTAAATTTCATCTTTATTTTTAAATTTGGTATCAAAACAGTTACAATTACATTTCTTAAAACGTAGTGTTTAAAATAAATGATTTACTATAATGATGAAACTAGGTATGAGAACTAATCTAATATTCAGATGAAGAAAAAAATTAATATTGCAAGTCAGCTGACAGACCCATTTTAAGAATGTCACTGTTGTTGATTTTAACTCTGTATTAAATTTATTAAACTTGAACGAAACAGTTCAAAAAGGATAATTCTGTTTTGCTTTGAGCCAAGGGCTCAACTGCTTTAAGATCTCTCCTGCTTTTTTTTACATCTAGATCTTTCTCTGCTTTATGTGTGTAGTTATTGCAATAACTTAATATTATCTTGATAAAAAAAAAGTGAACCAATTATTTATTCAACGCTGTAGTTTTGAGCCACATTCTACTCTTAATCCTGTGGAAAAGTCTGCTATCCTATCTTCTTTTAACTGTTATCGCTTCCACCCATTGAAAAATATATCAACTATTAGCTTTTGTTCTTCGACTTCATTATAAGAAATCCTGATGTGTCTATGTCTATATACTGGTTCACCAAACCCACTTTGATTGGTTCCGTAATTACTTTTCCCAACACTTACCATAGGAAACGTATTAGAAAGATTTTACTTCCCTTAAATTTTTCTCTCCCTCCCCCCCATGTTGTATAAACTTTAACAGTTTTTATAAAAACTATTCATACTCTACTTATTCTTTACTAACTCTCCACTACCATCTTCCACACTTTTGTACTACAGATTCCTACCATAATACCTATTCTTTCAGATAACAAGCAGGTATTTCTAAAATCCACATCTATATCTTTATGTATAAGTCCCATAATAAACTCTTATCTTTTTACCAATTTAAAAATTACTCCTCTTGAACATGGCTCAAATATAGTTTTCTGACTTCTTTGCTCAATTCCCAATTGTAATTCCTTCTGTATCAGCAAAACCAAAATTATTATTATTCTGTCTTCTTTATGTTGTACTTAATTCCACTACATTTTATTTATTTATCCTATGAGCCTTATTTCATACATATCTCTTTACAATCTAATTTATTAATTCTCAAATTTTGGATTTTCCGACATAAACTATCCATAACTTCAAACTTCTTGAACATGCTTTAACTCTTAACCATTCCGTCATCATGCTGCTATTCCTAATTGTAACAAAAGGCTAATTAGTTATTCACGCTACATCCACCTCTATCCTATTAATCATATGGTTGACAAACATTGTAGTTTCCTTATCTAAAGACATATTTTAAACTTAATAAAAATCAAAAATAAATTTATTCTTTCGTCTTTATGACGTTCTTAATTCCACTACATTTTATTTATTTATCCTTTAAACCTCATTTCATACATATCTCTTTACAATCTAATTTATTAATTCTTTTCTGTGATACTAACCCAGCCTTCATCCAGATCTATATTTATGGTGAACCATTGATGAGATGAATCTCTTGCTACTAATGTCTTGAGATTTCCAATAGTCTGTTTAAACTAACTTATTAAAAAAATAAAATAATACTTCAAAGCTGTTTTATTTGGCATGATAAATTAAAATATTAAATAATTTATGTTTCAATTTTGTTGAATATTAAATGAAAAGATTGATTATCTCATAAAGGAGTTCATTTATCACTGACAGCTCTGAATCAACAAGTTTTCCACTCTCTGCCTGTACCCTAGTATAAATAATCCACTGATAGCTTTGGAGGAAATCAATGTTTGTTGCTAAAGATATTTTAATGTAAGATAATTTGTCCTGAGTAAGGAAATTTTCTAAATACAGCATAGGTCAACCCATACTTTCACTGATAAATTCTTGTTAATTTGTAAAGTATTACAAATAGTAGTTTATAAGAGTACTCTTTGTACTCTTATAAGTTTTTTATCATTATAACAAACAGAACAGAACAGTTGATGAAGTGATGGAAACAATCTTCTTCATAGCAGCTTTTTAATTTCTTACAGACAAAGTCAGGAATTTTAACCTATTTGGAGTAAAAAAAAAAAATTATTAATTTTTCTTATACTTGAAACTTGCTTTATAAACTGTTTTCTCACCACCATAAAAACTAATCTTGGATTCACATAAACCATGCTAATGTTTATATTATCAAATTTGAAAGGATTTTTAAACAAAGTACCATATCAAATTCTAACAAAATAATAAATATTAAAATAGATGTCAAAAACACAAAAAGTTTCTCTCATTCTCATTAGTTTTTTACTTAAATACAAATAAATTATAAATTAAATTCTTCACTTTTATTATTATTATGATTAATGGGATTAAGGAAATTTGAAAGATTCGGTTGTGATTTTTGATTTGTAATACATTAATTGGAGAAATAACAGTGAAACAACTAAAAAAAAAAATATTTTAATGAATGAGACACAAACACTTATCATACATGTCAATAAAAATAAATTAAAGGAGTCAATACTTATTAAAATTATGGAATCATATACACAAGGAGTAATATTAGATTTATTTAACATTAAATGGTATATTTTCACAGCCATGCAGGCACCATTACTATATTTAAAAAATAATTAAATTTTAAATTAAAACATATACAGGATCTGCCAACAAAATGAATGTGCAGTTATTAAAAGGATTACAAATCTGACAGTTAAGTACAGTATTTGAGATCTGGATAAATAGTAAGACATTTTTAACAAAAAGCAACAAAGGTGCCAAAGTAAAATCTAAAAGCTAGAGAGAACAGACGAGTTATTTGTCTTTTTACAATCCAAATACTGCTCCTCCTTTCCTAAAGTCAGCATTTCCAAAGATTATACTTCCGTTCTTGGCAATGGCACAAACAACAGATCCGCGCTCTTTATACCTGTTTGTTTTATGACCCAGCTTCTCCAATCCAGCTATCACTTGCTATAAACATGTTTACATAATTAAGAAAATATCATTATTAAAAAAATTATACATATAGAAATTAACTTAATACTTTAATGAATTGAATTACTTAACTTATCAAAAAAAAAAAAAACATAATTAGAAAATATTATTCTTTATACATATTTCACACAATCTATAATTATGTACTTAAAATTATAAAATATATACTTAGAACTAGAAATCATTTACTATAGTAATATGAATGATAAGACAGAAGTTACCTGAAGGACTCCATATTCATAGCTGACCTCCATCGGAGCCAACTGATGGTGAATCCTACTGGCATCAACTGCTTGTTTGACATCTTCACCAAACCAAAGGTGTCTCATAATTACCTTAAAATAAGAAAAAACAAGAGCAGTAAGTTTGGATACTCATTTCAACTGTGGACAGGAAAAATGGTAATACATTGTGTGGTAAGTACTTAGAAGATACTTGGAATTACCAATATAATAGGTGGTCTATCGAAATTACATATTAATCGATATATTATCGATAAATCGAAAATATTAACAGGATATTAAATAAATATAAACAACATTTGCAGGACGGAGACAGGATAGCATTGCATAGCTCATCTTATAGTGAACATTTAAACCTTTTTCTTCATAATGAATGCCTACTTCATTCACTTATAACCGATTTTTTTCCTCTCACAAATTTCAACAATAAAAAAAAAAAAAGCCTAAGACTTAAAATAAAATAAAATATAAAACATTTCAAGAGAAAAAAAAAAAGTATAAATAGCATTTGCATTGCAAACTGCCTCAGAGGGGCAAGTTAAATTTAAATATAACTCTAGAACTATTGGATTATGTTTTGTATATTAAACTTAATTAAACTTGGAATAGCCAAGGTATGTTTATTGAGATTTGGACAATTTGAATTAGGTATACATTTCATTGTGTTGTTTATTCCCCAAACATTCTGTACATGTATTCTATCAGAGTTAAAACCAAAATGAAGAGAGATATTCAATGTGGAAACTTGCTACAAAAGTAAAAAATATTTAAATTTAGTCAGTATACAATGGGGGCATGATTATTTTTTAATCACTAAACATTCCAAGCTCTCTAGTTTTAGGTATAATGATGGTAAAATATCCATCATAATTTTGGTGATTGATTATTTATTATGTTTCCTAACATAACATGTCAAAGTAATTAGAGCAATGTTTAGTTATAAAATTGAGGAAATCAGTTGCATATTGAATATTTTTTTAAAACTTTTATTGAGTATTAATACAGTCTGCCACACTGAAGGGCATTGGTACTAGGGCTATAGTATTCATTCACACAATATGTACATAAGAAAGGAAAAAAATAATATATAAAATATTGAATATTAAGGGAAAAAGCTATTCACAAATAATTTAATCATGTGTATACTACCAGTTTCCTAGACTAATCATTAAGGGAGCATTTATGTTTTTATATTTTTTTTTCTGGACAGAAGAGGATTGCAGCATATATTTTACTGCTTTTATTCCTGAAGAATATTGAGATATCACTCAGCATGCCAATTTGACTTAATTCGTGGCTATAAAATTGACGTTGTTAAGGAATTTTGATAATTGTTAAATTTTTGTCACAATGATGTCATCGAGGGCGTAACTTAAGTGATCAGATGGATCTGGGATAGTTTTGAATGCTCAGCTTTGAGCAGGGTTATGACTATCATAATTTCTCTTTGGCTGTTACTAATTGAAATCTTCCAAGGCTTAACTTCTTTCATTATTATGGGGCAGCTTTCCTTTCAAAGGATGTAACATAGTGTTAGAAGAGTCGCATCAGAACTAGAAAGAATAAGGGTTTCTTTAGCAGCCCTAAATGCCATTATTGAAGAGTCATAAACACCACATAGCTGATGTAAAACTGGTTCATAGATACTTCATGTATAACTAGGTCTTGAGCTAAAGAATAGACCTCACAGTCCTAGACATCATACACCTGATGCAGTTTGGACTAATGGCTCGAATTGGTACATGCAAGAAAAAGTGAAGTTTTCTTAGATATTTTCATATTAGGGTTTTGGTCCTAGCTATTGACATGAATGACTTTTATATGATATCTTAAAAATTTCACTTAGTCAATATTTTTTTTAATAATTTACATAAAAAATAAATTTTAACTCACCCAGGCAACAACTGTAGTGATTTTAGTACCTCCAGAAGCACCAACGACTAGCTTCACTTCACCATCGGCACCAACCACTATTGTCGGACAGGCTGAGGACAAAGGTCTTTTTCCTGGCTCCATAAAGTTGTTTGGAGATGGAGGGAGTTGGAAATAGTTGACAACACCAGGAATTGAAAAATCATCCATAACGCTGTTCAATATAATGCCAGTTCCGGGTGAAGTTACACCTGCCCCAAAACTGTTAAAAATGTCAGATATTGATATTAAATTTCATCAAAATAAATAATTAGATGATGGTAAGGATTACGATTAAAAATAAAACAATAAATACATTAGTTGTAATGTGCTACCAACATTTTGGTCTATTTAGTTGGCTTCCTTCAGGGTTACAAAAATAAGATGAGAGGAGAACAAGAATAAAATTATAATTGAATAAATAAATAAAGCATTAAAAACTAAAGAAAAAAAATGGAGTACAAGGATTAATGAGGAGCTTATACGAGACACTACTGAAAATACTAACATGTATAAAAAAATATATATATAAAAGTAAAGTTAAAATCACTGATAATTTTATATAAAATCGTTAGAGCCGAGTTGTGGAGGAGAAATTTGTGGTAAGACCTTATATGAATGGTAGCAGAAAGTTTGTATTTTATCAAGAAAAAAAACATTAAACCAATTTCAACCTGTCCAGGCCAGATATAAACTGGCCTCGATAAGCCAGAGAATGTTACAGTTTATGCTGTAACATGCTCGAACATCACAACCTCACATTATTTTAACCTAAATTTACAAGTTAAGAAAAAAACCTTTGAAGGCCAGACTGAGCCCCCAGGCAATTCCCGCATCCCTTGTATTATGTATAAAAGATTCATTTTTCAGTCAGGACAAATCAGAGCATTCAAACCCAAGTAATATATTTCTCTCAAGCTAGAACAAGAAGTTAACTTTAAGAGCTACCTCTATGACTAAGTTGAAGTTTTACTATGAAAAGGTCAATAAATAAGGCTGGGTCTCCTCCACATTTATAAAACTAAAGTCATTTACCGATGGTTTTAATTCCATAAATTTTCTTTTAAAATACAAAACATGATCTTTTTACTTTGATTAGTCACTCACTAAAGATTAATTGTGGATGTTACAGAGACAGCGTCACCATCTTTAGAAAGGACAGAAATGTGAGCAGTACCATGATCTTCTTGGTTGTAGAAAACTGCGCCATAGTAGTTCGGTTCATTGTAAGTTCTTGTATCATTTATTCTGAGTCGAGTTTTCATTGCATACTGAGAAGATGTTAAATTATGTACTAACTGAAAAGAAGGAAAATAAAGAAGAAAGTATTATTATCTTTAGGAATAATTCATTGCTCTTAATTTTATCATTGTTTATTAGTATTCCAAAAGGAATATAATGAATGAAATAATCAATGTAAGCTTGAAAATAAAATTTTATCTCTTTAGAGCTAATTAATTGAAAGGGTATTGTTCTTCCTTGAGACAACACAATGCATTATGCAGCAGAACAAGTTGATGTTTAAAAATGTAATAGTCACCCAAAGATTAAGGCCTAAGGTTCGCATAGATTTCAGAAAAATCAGGTAAATAATGGCTTATGGTTATCAACTTTTAAATAATTATATGTGCCTTTCAGTCGACAGATTGACTAACTAAAATTTCAATATTTTTGATTATTAATTTTAATGATATTTCAAGTGGGAAAATTTATACTTTTATTCACAATTCTATATTTCAACACCGCAATCACATACTCTGGAATCAACTAATTCACTGTCTGTACAGAGAGAAATACAACAACATTGCATGGCTGCTCAACTGTGTTGTGTACACAGCATACTCATCAATCGAAAGATAATACTGCATAAAAATATAAGAGAGATTTAGGTCAGACCATTGGAATACATATCAGACATGCAAAGAACTGTTCATAGAATCAAATAAGTGAAGGTCTAGATCTATATAAATGGTGATGGAGGGTTCCTAACGAGTCCAAAATAATTTTTTCTGCCATAGCCTGCATCTACTCCTTTTTAACACCGAGCCTCTGCAAGAAATTACTTGTAGTAAGAGGGATGCTTCCTCTGCTTCTGAACAATAGCCCTTTAACTAAGTATTCTCTCTCGCCGAGTTATTGTAAATTTTCCAACTAGAAATATCACTAAAATGACTTTACTCTAAAATGTTGAAATTGGAGTTAGTCATTCTGTCAACTGAATAGGCTCATATATTGATAGTTGAGGGACTGTGTATATACAGTTCAACTGTCTTTTAAGCCTAGTGTTGTATGACACTTAAATTTCTTACCTGTGAAATGTTCACAAATTTTGGATCAGCTAACTCGGTTCTTCTGGCAAAAGCAAATTTGAATGCTTCTAACATCCTATGGACTGTTAATATCTCTTCATCTAAATCAGTTGGTTTTGACATGTTATAACCATCGAGAATAGATAAAATGTAGGTCACCAATGGTCCAGATCCAGGAGGTGGTGCTGAGTATACCTTTTCACCTCCTTTTAGTGTAATACTCACTGGATCCATCCAATCAGCTCTGCAAGTAATTTCTATATAAATTTCTTTACAACTTATTACCTTAAAATCTTATGAACTAGTCATGATGACTAAAAAAATTAAAATGAGGGTTATTAGGAATGAACAACTATCAGTCATAAGAAAATCAACCAGTAAAGTTTAATTTTTCTACAAATATATATTTCTGTAAGTAACATTTCATTATGAGTTAAGGAAAAGTTAGAAAGAAAATTACAGGGTTGCTTTATGTTTCTAATATTTCAAAATGTCTGTTTTGTTTTTTAATAATAGTTAGCTGTATTGAAAAAAAAAATCAGAACATATTCTGAAATCATGTTGAATAATATTCATAATATTTAACAAGTCCAGAACTTGGGATTTTGATGATTACTCTATCATTAATAAATTATGTAAAACAATTATTAATCCAATTATAATGAATAATTTTTATGAAAAACTTAATTTATAAGAATCAGATTAAATTTATTTATGCATAAAATGCACATATTACATGGCTTTAATATAAACTGAGGTATATTTTCCGCTAACAGAGAATATCTTTGTTTAAAACATAGTTTGAGTTAATAAAAGAAGACTTTATAGTTGAAAGGAAGAAACTTCGTCTCTTATTAGCATAATTTTGCTTATATTGGGACTGCTGTTCTTAACTGACAAAGGCTGCAATGAATAAGAGTTTAGTGAGATTTACTGAAATAAAATGTGGACATATTAAATCCAATTAAAATTTTAAATTTATCTCTTTAAATAATCTAATATGTATCATTAGTGGTTACTGTTTGTTTTTCTCTTCTTACTCAATTTAAATCAAATAAAATGTTTTCTAATTAATATAGAACCGAACTCAAATTTTGAGACACTATATAGTTAAGCATAAAAAAATAAAAAAATTGAAATAAATTGATAGATGATTGAATCTTTTAAAATTAACTTACTTATAATTGTTAAGGTCTTCTTTTGAAACAAGTCCTCCCAAAGCTTCAATATCTTCGGCAATTAGAGTTGTAAGTGATCCATTGTGAATAGCATTACCTCCCTCAATCATTATTGTCCTGAGTGTATCACAAATCTTTTTTGGTTTGATAACTGTTCCCTTTCGATAAAACTGCTTTGTCTCAGGGTCCACAAACATTTGACTATAACAGAAACAAAACCATGTAAGTAACTGACTTTAAAGAAACTATATACTGAAGTTAACACCTAGTCTATGGTACATGTATGATTCACTGCTTTAAAATTTTATTTATTTTCTATTTGATAAATGTTAATTTATAAAATAAATGTTTCATAAACTTTTAAAATAAATGAATTCTGTTTCAATTATCAATAACAGCAAATTTATAAGGAGCCAAGATTTTTCCTGAAAATTATTTTTTTTATTGACTTCTTTTGTTTGCTTTGCTAAATTTTTCTCAGCTCTTTTGAACCATCAACAAAAGAAATAAAATATCTCAAAATTGATATAGCCTTTTAACAAAATTTAAAATTTGCTAAAAGATTTCAAATTAAAATTACCAAAAGTATTTAAATATTTGATATATAAATTAAGAACAAAAGATGAAAAAAAAAATTAATAAATGTAAATTAAGAACAGAAGATGAAAAGAAATGAAGAAGCAAATAATAAAATGAAAGATTAAATTTAAAAAAAGAAATAGAAAACTATTAAAGCAGTTAGTACTCTAATTTAATATTTGACAAATTTAGATGGAATCGAACTTGAACTTTTCAGATGCTCTGAGATTTTAATAATATTAAGAGCGGATCTGGTCTTTATTCATATAGTATATTACCTATTTTGTTAAATTAAAAAAAAAATGGTATTGTATTAAAAAAAACTTAAAATAAAAAAATATATTATTACAGATTTATTTTTTCCATTAGACTTTTTCAATATTACCTGAAAACTGGATCTTCGGAAATAGAAGGCCTGAAAAGAAGTGATTCATATTGAGGCTGAGAGAGAACGTAGCCTTCACCGCAGAGCTTAACAGTCGGTTCTACAAGTTTGGCCCATTCTAATTTGCCAAATCTTTTCCATGCTTCATAATACCCACGCAACTCTCCTGGTACACCGATAGCCAGACCACCTATGGAATAAATTTTTATCCTTTATTCATAATTGCAAAAATATTTTTGATTTCCATTATTTGGCTCTAAAACGGTCAAATATTTATTTAAAATAATTATAGTACTAATAACTTCCCAATCTGATGATATTTTCATGAGTTCGACTTATTTATTACTCACAAACAAGGAATTTTAAAAAAGTAGTTAATTACTTTTATCAGGAGTCTTCAAACTATGACCCACTCCAGTCTGGCCCAAGAAAGTTTCTTTGATTACAAGATACATTTTTAAAATATGAAATTTAGTAAATCACTCAAATACAAAGTTAGTACAACTTTTGTTGCATGAGTTTTTTCTCTGAGAAAGCCCATTTCACAACTGATGGTTCACTCATCACGAGTCATGAGTAATGTCCAGGACCAAGGAATTTAGTAAATATCTCAGTATGGCCCAGTGCCAAAAAGTCTGGAGACCCCTGACTTACATCATTAACCCACTAACTAATTGTATGTGGCATATCTGTAAATTATGCCATTTTTGATTTTTGTGTTCGTTGTTTTCTGTTAAATATTTTAAAAAAATAACATTATGTAATTATAATAGCACAAGTGACACAAACTGTATTTAATATGATACAACCAATTTAAATAAGAAATTGGATACCTTACTGAGCAATCATAATTTAAAATCCAACATTTTCAGAAATGGCATATTGCCATTGCCTTGACCATATTGTATTAAATTTTTAAGAAAAGTAGTAACAATGTAACTTATATGGATAAAATAATATAATTTAAATATTATATGGATAGTAAAAAGTTTTGATTAAATAAATTTATTGAAATAACTGATTCATGCAAGTTGGTTACTATAGGAAAATTCTATACAAATCCTATTGTCTTAAATAAGAATTTATAAATTAGCAGTCAATGTTTTGCTAGTTCATTTATCATTAGAACTGAAAAACGCCAATTTACATTATTGGAGACTTAATAGTAATATATTTAAATGTATAAAAAGGTATCCTGATTCAGTAGTGGATTTAATTTTGGGATGGGGGGATAATTTTTTTATTAACAGTTATTAAAGAAACAATAACGCTTTTAGAGACAAACTTTGTATATGTTTTCTTGACAGGTGCTGACATTTAGTAGAGGAAGTACATGTATTATAACATAAAAATAGAACATAATGTGATTGCTTAAGGCCCTTTACACAGTCAATATCGATTTCAATCAAAATATTGACCACATAAAGGCTACATTGATATCAATTATATTGATTGACTTCAACCATCCTGGTTCATACCAATTTTTTTTTTTTTTTTTGTTAAAGCTCCTTCAATATTATTGAAAGAGTGTCAACATAATTGCATGTGGTAGGACAATATGTTCAGCAATATTAGATCATATATACGGATCTTGGACCTTGAAAGGCACTGGACTATAGGATATTTCGAGGGTCCATCTTGGTTAGAGCAGAGAAAGTGTGTGTGAAGGGAAGAGGGATCTGTCCCCACACTCTCCTCCCCATTATTTTTGTTTTTAAATTCTAGAAAGCATAATGTTTCTATTGGTTCACCACAGTGATATTTATGGAGTTGTCCAGAATGATGAAATGGGGAACTCACTGGTGTGTTTCTAGATGTGGAAGAAAGAGGACAGTTGATTGGGCACATTTTTTATAGTTACATGGCAAATAAGAAAATCTGGGATAAATGTGTACTATATTTTACAAAATATGGCTTTAAATACCGAAAAATACTTGTTTTTGAAGTTTGATTTTTCTTAATTGTTAAAATTGTTTATGATACAATTTGTTTTAAATATTACATTCAAGGCCATGTTTCAATCATTTCTATTTTTATGAGATGGATAAATCAATTTAGTATTCTATGCTTCAACGAGTAAATGCGTAAGAGATATTTGGAAGAATATTATTCAAGAAAGAATACAGGTTTTACAATACTCATTAAAACATGATTAAAAAAGTAGAAAATTCAATTTATAAAATGATTGGTATAACAACTTAGTATTTTATTTATTTAATATTGAGGCATTTTTTAAAGCCTAGAACTATATTAATTTTTTTATGTTACTACAATGGCTAATTTTAACTGTTATTGAGATTTATTTTTAAAATGTAGCTTTATTAGAAATTATCATGACCTGGAAAAATACAATAGGTTTGGATGGTGATGACCTAAGGATTTCAAACAAACTATACAAAAGAGAAAACTAAAAATAATCTAGGGTATAATAATAATTTAAAAAGGCATATCACTGAAAATGTTAATGACAGTTTCTTATAGGAAAAAAAAACAACTTCCAAAACAGCTACAATAAATACTTAAGACAATGGAACTTGGAACTTTTTTAACATGATTTTCTCACTTTTTTTGTCTACTCACAAACTTGTGTCAGTCTGTAAGACAAGTTATGATTCTTTATTTAGAACATTAAACTTTTAAAATCAGAAATTGTTACTGAAAGTGTTATATAGAAATTACAGCTTTGTTTTTATTTCTGTTCATAAAATTTATTTCAAAACATGAAGACCAGTAATATTACAAAAGAAATTAACTGATTTTTTTCAGTGAACTTGTAAACTCATTTAAACAACTACAAAAAAGTCCAAAAATATTATTACAACTGGCTGAATTGAAAAAGAAAATGGCAAACCCCATTGAATGTTTTCATAGTACCTAAAATGAGTGAGTATTTATACTTTATTGATTATAATTAACATTATTTTGTTTTATTAATAAACCCAGAGTATATATAAAGACTGCTACTTTACATGAATTGTGTTATTCAATATTTTAATCTAAAGCAATAGAAAAAATATTATAACAAATGTGCATAGCATTAAAAAATGATTCAATAATTAAAAAAAAGAGTAATGTTAATTTATTATTTTCTTTATGGATATTTTTGACAGAATTAAGATAATAAAATCAAAGATATCAATTTTTTATTTTGTTGGATATGTTCTTCCAATCATTTTAAACACTTAAACAAAAACATTTTTCTATGATGCCTCTTATTTTGAATCAAGTTGATTTGTTTTCAATTATGAATTTTAATGAGAAAGTTTTTTTTAATATTATTTTAATACATTATTTTTTAGATAAAATTAAGAAATAAAGTTTGTTTAAATTTTTTTATTTAGAGATACGGCTATGATAAAATTCTAAGTTTACAAGAAATAATTAAATTGTACTACTTAGTTAATAATTAATTTACTATCAATTCTAAAATGTTCTGTCTTAAGCTGAGAAAAAACATGAGTAAAGAAATTGTTAATTAGTTTTGTAATATTATTTTAATTTCCATTTCAAAAATTATTTTTACTTAAAATTATGTAATTACTTTCTTTTAAATGAATAAAAACAAAAACAAAATTTAATGAAACAGAGAAGATAAAATATAAAAACATTTATACTGTTATAATATTTTAGATGCCTATTAATAAAAAGGGATAACTCCAAATTCTAAACTTTTGCTAAAAAATAAAATGTTTCCCATTGGTAGAATAAATTCATTTCAATATAAATTTTTTGAATATTGTTAATAAATATTGTTGAATTAAATACTGAACATTGTTAATAAATTTGAATTTAAAATTGTTAATATTTTTTTTTTAAATTTGTTGTTATATTTTCTTTGTGTTTTGCTATGCAAATTAAAATTTTAGTCAATATTTATTTTAGCTGCATGTTTAAATTTTCAAAAATGGATGTAGAAAATAATGTGGTTTTTAAGTTTAGATTTATTTATGTTTACTATATAATTTTTTAGTGAAAAGAGTGGACTCTGAAATTTAGCTCTTGTAGTTAGTAATTACTACCCATTCTAGAATGCAGAATAAAATGATCTTAAAGTTTAAAAGCAAACTCACGAATTTGAGACTTAGAACCCTTTTAATTTGAATTTATTTTTGTAATAAAAATATTTATTTATTTTATTTCTATTATAAAAATGTTTATTTATTTTTTAAAGATAAAAATTGTTAGTTTTTAAAATATAATATTGATGTGTATAATAAATGTATTTTCAAGTTTTAATAAACCTAAAATTTTCATTTCAATTATAAGTAATCATTCATGAAATTTGATTACTGAAATTAGAATACATATTTGATCAGTCAGCTGTCCTTGGGTAAGAAAATTCCCTTCAATACAAACCTGTCCTTGATTGTTGTTGATCACCAGAGAACATCCTCAAATGGGCAGCAGCTGGGGCAGTTTCCCTGGCAATGAGACTGTATGGTTTTCCTTTCATGTACATAGTCATGATAAATCCACCACCCAGTCCCATACTCTGAGAATTGACAAGACCATTGCAGAATAAGGCACCAATTGCTGCATCAACAGCACTTCCACCCATTGCTAGCAAATCACTGAAATTTCATTACCCATAAGAATTCATACTATTTTATATTCATTGAAGAAAAATGCTTGGAAAATATAATAAACAGCAACTAGGCTATAAATATTTTTCAATTTGTTTTATTTCAACGAAGTTTAAAATAATCTGTTATTTGAATATAATTAAAATCTAGGGAGTGGATGCTGGGGAAAAAAATATAACAATATAAAAAAAAAGAAACTTTATTATAAAAAATTATAAAGCATATAACACATTTAATTTAGTCTTCATGTATTAACTTAGGAATAAATGAACTTATCCTAGACTAGATACATGGAATCACAATTCAATGCATCAAAAACATAGGAAATAAAGTTACCTAAAATCAAGAGGTAAATCTACTAAAAATTGTCCAAATAATTCCATATCACAAAACCTTAGATGCAAGTCCTTTCTGTTCCACAAATTTTCATCAGTTTTTCACAGCCTGAATTTTCTTTTTGTGGGCTTCGGTGTTCTGCATCTTGGTCACAATTTTTCTTGAGTGTCCACAGGGATCATTGTGGTTTGTGTGCTCGCTGACCTCTTTCTTCGTTCTTTGTTTTCCGCTGTTGCCGCAGTAAAGTTGCTTGTCGTGATCGAAGTTGTAGTGCTCGTATTCGTCGAAGTGGTTTTCAGACATGGTTTTGAAAGATCAACGTCAAAACTGTAAAGGATTACGGAGCGATTTGGAGTACCTCACCTAACGATAGTTGAAAAACGACTGTCCTTTTCTCGGTTGCTACCTAGCTACCCAGCTGTAGAGGTGAACGCGCATGCGCCAGACCAAGGCCAACTGACGACATGGAACGTGTTTTGGTTTCATCTTATTGATATTTACTGTTTACCATTGTCACTAAAGGAAGTTGGCTAGAGCTCGCTTTATAATTATGCCTAGAGGCTGTTAGGAAGTAATTTAAAGAAAGTTTTAGAATCAAATTGTATTTCTGAAAGGTTTATAAAATTTTACTTCTTGCTAGGACTACGTTAATATTTATCTAAACAATATATTAATAGTATGAAAAACACTAGCAAACATTATTAAAATTACAATTTTTTTTTTCATATACATAAAAATATTAATAGCTTCATGCACACATGATCCATCTGTCAATTTTAAAGTTTTTTTTTTATTTTTCATGTTATTGTTATTTATAATACTTTTTAGAAACACTTTTAATTTTAGAAATGCTACTCATAATTAGTGTGAGAAGTAAACGAAATATTGTTAATACGAATTCAATAGTGGTTTGAAAACTGTATTTTGCACAACATTTTGTGAAATTAGTTGAGAACGGTCGTGGAGTGGTATCGATATACCGTGGTAGCAGGAAGTGGGTTTTCAGGATAGATAAAATATATCTCATTACAAAACGAACATATGAATATAATCATCAAACTGTGAGTGTTTTTATTAAACATTTTGCTAGAAACAAAATATAAATGATTGTATGCGGTTGTTAAATGAAGATAATATTTTAGTTGATAGTTATATAAAAAATTGTAATACAAAGAAGAACAAATAGTATTTTTTTTTTCATTAATGGGATAGTAATGTTTCGGCCAAAGTTAGTAAGCATCTTCACGGTTCCAGTAACTTCAGCTACTCCTAGACCTGATATCCGAACGAGTAAAACCGTAAAAATTAAATCAATTCGAATACCATCGCTCGCTTAAACAACGTAAAGAACTATAACCTTGATGCGTCACTACAGACCATGGATGCCAAGTATTCAGAACTGGTTAGGCCTTCATATCATAAATATTTTGTACCTTTACCAAACACGGTTTCAGCATTGTTTCTTTCGAAATATACAATAATAATAGGCCTTTAGTTATTAAAATGATTTATATTGAGACATTTTTTATTATTTTTTATAACATTAAAAATCATGGATATTAAAATATGGAAATATTTGAAGATCATATGGAACGCTTATATTCTTTAATATAATATTTAGCCGTAAAATTAGTCAAGATGAAAAAAAAAAATTACCGTCAAATGTTTGCGTTTATGTAAAAACAAACAATCGCCACCAAATAGTGCTATAAAAAATATATGATATTCTAATTTGATTCCACAAATCTAACTTAAATATTTTATGGATTTTAAAGTAATATAGCTATGCCATTTATATAGATTATATGCCAAGTAAGACAGCTTTAAATTTTTAATTCTTCTTTTCTTTTTTTTTTGCTGAGAAGCTGTATACAATTCACTGTTTTCGGCAATTAAAACTTCCAGATATACAACAATTGATTAAATTTTGTACAGTTTCTTAAATCGATATGATTTGAAATGTTATCAGTAGAAAGATGCACTAAAAAAATTAGAACCTGGAGTAGTGATATTCATAGTCAAGGAATCACGGATTATCTATTTATGACTTACGGGCAATTGGGGACATCACTAGTGCGTGTCTAATTAACGGTGAAGGGTTGAGATTAGCCATTGTTTTTATGATTGATTAGATTACAAAAAAAAAATCAAACATTTATAAATAAAAGTTTTTCTCATTAGAAAACTGTCTACAGCAGAGTCAACACGCCAAAATATACCCAGCACCCTCTTCAAGATGGACTTAAATTTGTTGTTGACAATTATTAATAATCAATAATAATCATTATATATTATTAATAAGTTAACGGTATTTACGTAGTAAAAATCTTGAAATATTTAAACAATAAAGAGGACACTCACTAACTGAAGCAAATTACCTAAATGTTTCTATAAAACATATTTTGCCACTTTTTCACTTTTAAATTTAATTATTTTTACCTTACAGGAGTTTATTAGCACCCAAGTTCGAGCCATGGTACAGAATAGAACTTCAGAAATATACTTGACTGACTGAAAAATAGACAAAGAATGTCAAATACCCTATTTCGATCAAATAAAAACAAATATTATTTTAAACTTATTATTAACGATCAAAGTTCGGTATTTATTTTATTTGCTAAGCCAAATTAATAGAATTCGAGAACCTCACATTAGACGAATTCCTCCAATCTAAGCCGTGATTGGGTCCCCCAAAAAATAACATTATATTCTTCATAGGTATATTATTCATGTAATTTGTCCGAAAAAAAATGATTATAATTACACAGAAAGCTTCTTTAATCGACATCTAATTATACTTCGATAAGTGAATCTAATCAATTCAATATGAAGTTCTTTGAAAGAGGTATATATCAATGGATACTATATACGAGTATTTCGTACCACAGGCGGATATACGGGAAAGAGGGGGAGGGCCGTTCCGGCTTAATCCCTCCCCAAAATTATAAGATGAATATTAAAAAAAGGAAAAAGTATATTAACAAATGATCTCTTACAGTATTATTATTCGTGTAATTACTTTCAATCGGACTTCAAGAATCACTTAAACACCATTTCATATAACTAGTAAGTTTCTTTTTTTTTTTACAAGGTAATTATCGTTATAAATCCTGGATCCACTAGTGTATCGTACATATAATTTGTACCGTGCGCTGTACCGAATATAATGAACAGTTTCAAAGTTAGTATAGACTGGTTGTCATTACATTTGATTTTTATATCTACAAACAGACCATAGGTTTTAGTATTTAATTTAAAAGATTTGCCTCATGATATATCAGGCTAAAAAATACTGTTATACAGAGATCATCCTATTCAATTTTTGACCTTTATTTACATTTATATAAAATCTTACAATAGATCTTAATAATTGATTTTTCAAACAATTTAGTTTTCACCAATATTTCATGAAAGTCATACGATCCGTTAGATCGAGAGGAATCTGGTTCCAGAAATTCGGTTGTGGAGATGCGCGCAAGAAAGTTGTTAGACAAGAGACCTTCAAAACTCAATTTCAGAGCATTGTTCGTCTGTTCTCAGTACATAAATTAATTATTTTCGTTTCTATAAAATTAAATATGTATTCATTTTGAGTGTTTAAAAAGGTTTTAATGTGGAGTGATATTTAAAAATAATATACCATGTATTACATTATATTATATGTATGCACTAGCGGATTCAGGATTTAATTTTTTGGGGGGGCTTCTGCCCGAATGATTTTTTTTCATCTATATATAACAATAATTAATTAGAAAAAAAAAAAGAAATTAACACCCTATATGAAAGGGTATTTAAGTGGTTCTTAAAGTCCTATTAAATGTAATTACACGAACAAGAATACTTTAACAGATAGTTTTTAATATTTTTTTCTGTAAAACATCGTTATATTTTAACCATTTTTTTTTGGGGGGGGGAGCTTCAGCCCGAAAGCCCTCCCTCCTCCGTAGATCCGCCTGTGTAAGTATAGGTAAGAATGTTTCGGTACTGTGGCTGCTTATTTTATGTCTATCCGGCGCTAGTTTCGAAGTTTTTATGGAAATCCATCTAAAGCCATTAAAGTTATCATTGTGTTCGCAATTAAATTACAACTGATGTTTGAGGAACCTTTTGGGAGTGAAGAGAAAAAATAGATCTCTTCTTTTTGTTCACATCATTCTTTCAATTAAAAATTATTAATTGGATTAAGCAAATATATAGTCAGTCGTCTTATGAAAATTATCTCTTCTTGTTCTGTTATTAACAAACAGAATCAGTTGGTTATTGAGTCCATTTTAAACAGAATAACTATGGCCAACCAAAGAGCTCGTATAGCTGAATGGAGATTTTGAAAAGACCCCTGTGCTTAACTTGTCATTGACATTTTCTGCTCAAAAAAGTGTAGTTCTTCGAATGGCTTCTATCTCAATTCTGAATCTAAGGGAATGAAAGAACAAACAGTCCTTCACGATTAATTTTTGCTTAAAAAAAACGGACTGATCAGTGAGTTTACCCGTATATATCATCGGTTTTTTTGAGAATAGTCTTCAAGTAACCTTTTCTAAGACTAAAACACCGATTGAAGTTTAATGAAAACACCGACTACGTTTGACATATTATAGAATATGTGTTATTTGGAAGTACTTCATGAGTTTTGGAACGATAAATGTGATCGAAATTCACAAATATGTACATAGAAGTTTAACTATAAAAAAGATGTGTAGTTTTTTTTTCAATAAAGCTGCTATATCACCTTCGTGGCAAAATTATAGTCTGACTAAAGGTGTAATAGTCTAATCTATCTAGCAAGATCGACCTCATTCAATAACAGTTCGTTGGCAAATAGGGTCAGCCTATAAGATGAATAGTCTGATAACCCTCTTCTAAAGATTAAGGGAACTGGCGTATTATAATAAAATTTAAAAACAATTTTTGTGATTATGAACCTTAGGTATACATAGACAAAATTTACGATTTCAAATGATAATAACTCGTGATTAGTTACGACCTGTCAGATCAAGGACCCGTTTAAGTTTTTTGTATTAAAAAAATAAATGAATAAATAAACGTGATTCTAGCCTTATATGAGAATATGTTGACATATGTCACGTACATAAAGGCAAAAATAATGTAAAAATCCATGAAAAAGACTTTATTTTTTAGTATTTATTTTTGCTAAAATTATCACGAATTTAGGGAATTTCAATACAGATTTAAAATTTAAGCTGTGTACTTATAAAATTTATAGTGGTACAGACCCTTTTTTTTCGAAATATTAACATCCGGCAAAAACTTCGTAAATAGATTCTTCTTATTGTAATCTACAAATATTTTATTTACGAAAATACTCGAAATTTCGGCGTTTTCAATCTGGAGGAGGGTAAACTTTGTCTATTTAATTAGATACTAAAAACTCGTAAATACCCATTACCTTTCCATTTGTATATATATATATATATATATATATATATATATATATATATATATATATATATATATATATATATATCACGGAATAAAATTAACATCTCATTCAACATCAAGATATAAGGATTAAAATGGTTTTACGAAAATGAACGACGATAGAGTGGCAAATAGAGTATCCATCAATGTCTCGGATGATGTGCGCCCTCTTGGTAGGTCCAGGGCCCATGGAGGGAGGAGTCTCCTTAGGTATGATAAGTCAGGAGGCAGGAGGTTAAATAAATAAATAAGGTATTAAGTCCAGATAAGGAAGCAGTCTCCAAACTAAGGCCCGCGATCACCTTCCATTTCATAAAATTTAAAAATAGGAAATTTATCTAATTACTTACATATGAGGGTACAACATCATTTATTGTGCGGGTATTATTCTCTTAGAAAGTTCATCTTACAGCTGAAGTGTCCTTAATAGAAGTTTTTTTTTTCATTGCAAGGCATGGCCCGCGGGACTTGGCTGCGGGGTTAATGTGGCCTGCGGAATTTAGGCGAGGTCTCGATGTGACCGCGGGCCAAGAGGTTTGGAGACCCGTGGTATAAGGCAAGATTTTCGATAACAGAGGATTTCTATTAGCTATGCAGGAGATAGAGTGAGATGGTTGCTGTTCGGTAGGCCAAAGGCAGCCTCCTATGTATTTGGTACCAACAGACGGTTGTTATAACCTAATCTTCACCGATGAATAAACCTATGATATATATTTATATTTGTTGTCAATAAAAGTGGCCATCAACTTTTTGTAGTTTAACATTTTGGAGTATCTTCAACTTCGTAATATCTCAGGGTACAATATGGAATATGTTTCGCGGGACTATTGCATCAGAGACTTACCTGCCGATCTTGGAGCAGGGAGGGCCATCGGTGCAGACCGCCGAGTTGTAGAACTCCTCGAGGAGGGACGGGGAGGGCGGGAGCGGGACCTCCGGGTTGGGAGGGAAGAGCGCGGGCTCCCTCATGAGCCACCATACCAGGATCACCATCGGCAGGGTCACCACCACCGTGCCCACCGCGCACAGCAGCAGTGACCACTCCCTCTTCAACGGCTCTCTGCAACACAACAAAATTAATTGATTAATAAACATAGTTTTTCTTGCCATTCCATTCCATATTAATGAAAGAAAAAAAGTTGTGAAAAGATATTAATAAAGTGTGTAATTAGATAATAATTTAAACAATTGAGCCGATATACTCCTTTTATTACGAAAATTACCGATTTTATCGTTTTACCAAATTTCATACCCAGTTAAAGGTTAAACCATCATCCATTAAAAGTGCGGTGCATTAGCTTTAAACCTAAGCACTAATTACATCTATGCAGTACTGGTTGATATACGGGCGGGAGGGAGGAGGCTTTCAGGCAGAATCCACTTCTCAAAATGGGAAAATAATTTTTTTTTATTGTTCCTTATTCATTTATGTGAGTGATTTAATCGAATTTTTGGCCTTCAAGGAGCATTTAAAAGGCTCTTACACATCGAATGTGACATATCTTATTTCTGTCGGCGATAGTGTTGCCCAAATGCGAGACCGATACGAGTCTTGGTCTTGCAAACTCAGTCTTGGTCATGGTCTTGGTCTCGCGCAAGAGTCTCGCAACAGTCTTGCAATTACTTATTAGCTTATTACTACAGAGATATTACTGTGTTTTTTTAGATAAGAGAAACTTAATGAAGCCCGAATGAAAATTAGAGGAGTTAAATGCAAAAGTAACTAAAATTGTCGAGTATTAGTACCTATTTTGCCTTAATTTTTATTTAAAAAATAGATTTTTTTTATCAGTCGTGGTCTTGATCTTGCAACAGTCAGGCGGCCTTGGTCTCGGTCTTGGAAAGTGCAAGACCAAGACCGATTTTGGACAACACTAGTCTGCGGTGATATGATGATATAGTTGTATTACTATATATTGCATTATAACAATCACACAGAGCGCGATAATCCGCAGCGATACAGACAAAGGGTATCGTTTCGCCGGGACTTATCGCCTTCTGTGTTCAGGAGCCTTTAAACATTATTTTATATGGGTAGCTTATTCCGTTCTCTTCCGAGAGGACTGATCTTATTAAAGAAAGAAAACAAAATTAAGACTTGGTTACGCTGCTGATATGAAGGTATATTTGGTGTATATGTAAATATATATCACATTACTCATTGATAATTGTGGATTGATGGTTGACTGTAGTGAATAATTGAAGAGAAGAATTGTTGGGTTAATCAGTCAAAAAACTATATTACATTACAATTGGAAAATTCCAAACACACAGCCTTGTGTCTCTGCAAAGTAAGCAAAGAATAAAATAACCGTCAACATTTCGCCAATTCAGGCATCATCAGAAAAGAAAGCCAAGATGACATCACTCCATGATATCCAATCGCAAGCTGCATTGGCAAAGAGTGGTGGGATACAGGGTTAATTGTTCTTCTCTTTTTATCAGTGCAAGCGAAAGTATAATTAAGACAATTGCAAATCATAAACAATCACTATTGCTGTCTGTATCATGTTTTCTCCCGGTTTGGAAGTGCCTTCCAATTGAAACTCTATAAAATTATAGTTCCCTCCTAAAATTCATGATCCCGCCAAAATGTGCTCTCCTCCCAAAAAAAATAATGCAGTATAAATGTCCCCTCAATCAAAGATTTTGATGGCGCATCTTGCGGATAAAGAATAATAAATATATACCGATTTTACTATTCACGAATTGAATATTTTCCATCGATTGGAAAAATGAAATTTATATTAACTCTACAATAGCCCTCTTATCCCTGCGGACAAATGCGATACTAAGGACTCCACCTGGACAAACGACTCACTTGGAACCCCATACGAGACTGAAACGACTAAAAATCGCCCGACGTTTTCGACTACTGTAGCACTTACTAGACAAACGCTCTAAGCTTTCAATCAATTACAAACGACTCATATATATGACTATAATAAGACTTATTTGGACTTACGGAATTGTGCTTTGGGACTCCATTAAACCATCGAATTCCTCTCGCATCCCATCCTTACAATCCAAAATCCTTCATAAAATCCTCAACGCTCCTTACTTTGTCACAAATAAAATCATTCATAAAGACCTTAATGTTCCATATGTTTCCGATTTGGCCCAATCCAGACACCTATCTTTCCATAAAAAACTGCAGAACCATCCGAACGCTCTCGTTTCAAACCTTGCTTCCTCCTCGATCCCTGATAAAACTCCGAGGCGTTTGAAAAGAAGATGGCCTCGGGACCTTCTAATATAGAACTTTAATTTTAGTTCTACCAATGGGTAGTTTCTCTTCATGTTGAACATGTCATGTTACCAATGTCACATTTACTTGTTGTATTTTTTATATAATATAGTTGTAAATTTCATTAAAATAAAAAAAATATTAACTCTATGTATTCGTGATGCGTGTATGTAGGCAGATGTTTAAGCGTTTGATCGGGGTAGTTTAGTTTAGAAGCGCACGCTATGTGAATGTCATGGCCAACGATAATAATTCTAAACAAACGTTCAGAAGATTGTGTTTGACTTCAGTAAGATACTGTAATAATTTATGATCAATAAATCAATACCTGATTTTTTTGTTATGAATATTGACTGGCATTATCTTTAATCTTAAACTGCGGCATTTCAACTCTAAAATAAACCACTAATTGCGAAAAAAAGATTACATCTTAACAAAAACGTAGCTAAGCTAGACTAATTGACTCTTATATTTTTTATCATATTTTTTTACGAACTTCGTACATCTGACCTAGGAATGTCATTTCTCTTAAAAAGAATAAAGCGTGCCCCTCCCCTCCCCTTCAGAGACATTTTATTTCTATCACCTTCCTTGAAATGGTGCAAGTGAAAGTGTAATTATAAAAATTGCTCAGTTTTTTCTTTGTTCCTTGGCATGAAACCCAACAAAAATATCGTTCACTTCATGACTCCGAAAAATCTGCTCCTCAAATATTCATAACTCCGCAAAAATGTGTTCCTCAAACATTTATAACTCTGTAAAAATGTATCCTCCCTGAACAATTCATTCTCCCAGAAAAATTTGACAAGCATGGAATAATCTATATTTATGTGTAAGTTAATAATGTATTATGTTTTGAATTTTCAATTGGCTTTATATTATTTATTATTTCATTATCTGTAAATGTGAAGGGACTATTCTTTTGTTCGAAAGCAAACAGTGAGAAAACAAAATTAAAAAATGCATTTTTTGAAAACTTGAAAAATTTAGTTGCACTTATAAATCGTGCATTTATTGTAATAAGTCATGTAACATTTAATCGCAAAGAACTTTGTTGATTTTTTTTCTCTATGAAATCGGAACATTACAAGGGTTTATGCCATTTTTCTACACTTACTGTTTTTATGCATCGATAAAGTAGCTCGAAATTCATAAAAACATACAAAAAAGTTTAGCTCAATCAAAAATTTACATAGTGATTTTTTTCAATAATCCGACGATACACTTCTTCATTTCTAATTAGCGGTATTTGGGATTATATATAAATAGAACTTTTTTCTTTATTGTTACATAACTAAGTTTCTTGTCACATAATTCTTTCAAAACTTTTTGTTTGCAAAAATGTTATGTATAATTTGAGATGTATTTTTTCCCCATTTTAATAAATACTTTTATTTCAATTTTATTACTTTTCAATAAAAAATACATTAATTTATTAAGAGATACCAACTGCAACTTGAATAGTTTATTAAGATACTCATTTTGTTACGAAGCAATCGTATCAAAGGTAGTTAAGTAATGTATAACATTAATAAATAACATATTTTTTAAAAATAATTTTTACTACATTTTAGTATTAGTGTATTTTAGTATAAAATAATTTATACGACATTACATTGTAGTAAAGATTGGTTTAGTTCACCAATCGTAAGACGTATTTTTTTTTGGTTGACGATTATTTTTTAATGATTCTTTATAACCCAATAACATTAAAATGTCACTATAATAAGCACTTATTAATAAGCCATAATTACGTTGTATAGTTGTGTATTGTGTATTGAATGAATTTTATAATTGATATAAAATCGTTTTTAAAAAAGAAACTGAGTCGCCTTGTTTACAAAAACACCCTTATCTCTTTGGCTGAGTTAACAAATTAACAGCTGATTAAGAATTATTTATATCGGTTGGTGTATGAGGAAAACATGATAGTTCTAACTCTAATTGAACATTTTTATAAAACATAAATTAATTTAAAATATCACAAGAAAGGTTTTCTCCGGAACACAACGAAATCATTAGATTGAAATTCAGTATTTTTTAAATACTGAAAATTAAATTCATTGATTACATACCATAGCTCCTGTATTATCAAAAAATATTTATAATATGATAGGCGAATTTATTATAAAAATTGAACTCGTCAGGAAATAAAATGAAAATGTTTACTTACTGCGAAGAACACAAATGGCTTTCAGCCTAACCAATTTTCGCTTCCTAACTACCGAAGGTAGAAAGCATTGTGTTCGTGCGAGAGGTTAAAAAAAAATTGTGTGCTCAGAATCGAAAATTTCCACTCGCGTTTTAAGTTTCAGACATCAAATTTGGTTCGGTGTCTGTCTGTAATCAAATCGATGTGACGGGCATATCACCTAGTACTGTTCACCCCATTTTCATGAAATTTTCAAGGATTATGCAGATTGGTGCCTACATGGTCCCATATAAATTCCATCCAGCACTTCCTCTTACGCACGCGCAAATGTATTTATTTAGATATGGCAATATTTCAGAAAGGGCTCGTTCGATTTGGTCCAAACTTAGATAAAAGGTAGGTAATGGTGAAAAAATAATGTAATGTCAATTTTATTGAATTCTGTCCACTAATTTCTCGTATATATGCGCAAACGTGTACCTTGATATGTCTATATCTCTAAAACCACATGTTCGATTTAGCTCAATTGTGGAGGGAAGTTAGGGATTGGTAATACGTTAAAATGAAGGCAAGCCTATTTTAACGTATTATTTGGCAAGCCTATAGTTTGAAAACGGTGCATTCGATTTGACCCAAACTTGGAGAAAATTTGGAGAACAGAAAG